GTTCTAGGCTATATTTGCTCTTTATGTTTTGCAGATGTGCATGTCTCCACCTAAATCTATCTCACTCATTATCTCGCCTTAGAAATTTTGCATCACTGCTAAATTAAACATGACAAACATCATGTTTTTAGATAACAGATCATTCATAAGCATGAGAATCTGCTCATAATACCCTCGTACAATTGATTGAAAACAAGTCATATAGGTTTTTAAATCACCTGTATGATCCTATCAGCTAATTTTGATGAAATTTCTTTTTGGACATGTATATTACAGAACTACACTCAAACTTAAATAAGAAACGCAAGTTCAACAAGGTATAAGATTGTGGGGTCTCGACGAGGCGAGCGCCACGTCATGCTCTTGGAGTGAACGGACACAGCAGACGCGGTCGGTACAAACCAAACAACATACATTTATTTAATTTAAGAAGGACGATATCGTCCGCCGAATAATACATAAATCGTAATTAACACGCTAGGACATCGTTACACAATAACATGACAAAAACACAACACGACAAACACAATAACACACCGAAGGCGGCGTCTCCAACGCTCGACTTACCACGTGGCTCCCCCGGCGCGTAGGCCCGCAGTGCCCCGCGCCGAGGACCCACGCTAGAGACAACCGTTCGCGGCAACCCCCACGTGCCGAAGGGACTCGAAACTCTTGCGCGCCACCAAGGCTCGCTTCCGCCAGGTGTCACTGCCAGCACTACCCCATGATGATGACGATAGTGGTGCTCAACGCGAATACAACGGCACCTATGGCCTGTGGTCGTCACCCGAAATGCGGCTTTGGGGCGAGAGACGTTCGCTACACGGCGCAAACAACTTTGCAGGGGGTGTCACCACCCCCACAAGATATAATAAACTCAACTTAAAGCTTGGTGTGTTGATAGTAGTAAGCTTCCCGTGTATCAAAAAAGCGAAAAATGTTGGACTCAGTGGATTAGTGGCTAGGGTGTGCAGCTGCAGACCTGAAGATTGCGAGTTCAACACCAGCCGCAGCAGTCGCATTTCAATGGAGGCGAAACTGTAGAGGCCTGTGTACTGCGTGATGTCATTATGAGCTTGACTACGTTTACTGCAGGACAAAGGCCTCTCCCATGTTCCGCCAGTTAACTCGGTCCTGTGCTTGCTGCTGCCAATTTATACCCACAAACTTCTTAATCTCATCTGCCCACCTAACCTTCTGTCTCCTCCTAACCCACTTGCGATGTCAGTGCACATTAAAGAACACCAGATGGTCAAAATTTCGGGAGACCTCCAGTAAGGTGTCTCTCATAATCACATCGTGGTTTTAGGATGCAAAGTTCCACATATTTTTTTCCTTATGTAATTCGATATGTTGTGATTACAGCTAAGCAAATTTTTCTGTTACGTGACTCAGGATGAGCATCTTCATATCAGAAATGCTAAATACAGTCACCATTGCTACAGGTGCTAAATTATTTGAAGTATGCTTAAATATTCATACTTTCCCATAGTGCCACCACACATCCTGAGAACCAACAGCATATTGGCAAACAGAAACCTTTCATTATATCGTAAACAGTCACCTCTTTTTCCTTGATTGGTTTCAGTGCGCTGACATCTGGGGAGAAAAGTGTGGTGGGCTGCCTTGGGGGATTCGGCTCTGGATTGCTTCGCTGAATTTCGTCCTCAGTTGCTCGGAACTCAAGTTTGGCAGAGCCCAGCAGAGGGGTCTGTGTTGGCGGCTCGTCATCATCCAGATTCACCTCTACTTCTTCAGGCCCCTCCATTATGCCTAAGGGGCAGGCACATCAGTGTAAACTCTCATTACTGAAGCATGTTATTGAACGCAAACAACACATGTTATTAAGAGCATGCTCTAGTAAGCCTGGCATGAAGGTTCACAACTGGAAAATAATGATCGGGTGACTTTTTAAGTGGTCATGAATCGCATGCCTGACTTCGTGAAAAAACACACCCTACACATAGCAAGCACTGCTATGAATGTTTCAGCCAGACCTTGCAGTTTTGCGTGGCAAGAAGGGCTCACAAATGCAGCACAAAGTTGCCCCCCCCCCCCCCCCATTTTTTTAGGGGCTCTCTTTATGCAGAGGCCTATCCTCGCTTTAATTAGTACAACTTAGCTGCAAAAAGATCCCAGTTCTATTGGACACAGCAATAATTCAAACGAGAAAGAAAAGAAGAAATTGATGAAATTGGACAATTCAGCATTAATGGCATCAAAATTTTCTCTTTTGCTTTTGATACTGCATATTACTTTTTGCTTTGCTTCCTTTGGGAGGTGCCATTTTAAGGTGAAAAGCAAGCCGGGAATGATTACTGATACCAGGTAGATAAGTAATTTTAGAAGCTAAGTTGGGTGTGTTAGTAAAAATTGGAACAAGTGTATTAGAAGCAGTACTCGTTGCTCTTGTACGTTGAACAATTAGTTTACACAGACCAAAAAGAGAACACATAGCTATGAAATCTTTGGCCTATGCTGAAAAAGGTGAAAAGTGTGGTGGATCAGTGTTTAAATTTAAGTACGAGAGAATAAAATCAGCTATTAAGAATCAATGCATGAAAGAAAAGGATGAAGCATTTGCGTTTATCGAACCGTGGAGTTCGCATAAGAATGTTTGCGTAAATGAAGGTGAACAGTGGCATACCCCTAGAACAATTTTTAAGTGACGGATTGTTAGTAGAACCCATACTATTTTGATGTCACGATTAATCTGCGCATGTGACGATTGAATGCCTTTCGATATAGACCATATATTAAAGGAAGGCTAACCAACTACATCACAGTATTGCAAATAAGCTATTGCAAGAACTTGTTTCTAGTGGGGCACGGCAGAAGCCCAGTACCAAGACTGACAATGATGCAAAGTGGCTGGAGCTCACACCAGGTTTTAACTACCAAATATAATTATTCATATCCCTAAAAGTATGATTAAACATATTTACTGTTTGCATATGAGTGATGGCAGCACAATGGGTAAACAAATACTGTGATTCATTGAAGGCGACTCCTGAGGAGTACTATTTGTGAATTTTAAACTTGAATGCCACTGCTGTCGCTAATTTAAAAGCAGACGAGTCTGAAGCGGTAAGCATGGCGAAATGCGCGTAAAACAGTGGAATGTAGGGCAAAACTTACATTGAAACTCAAGGAACCCTAGACGTAACACGATGATTGGCGGGAGGTGATAAAACGCAATTCATACAGGCACATAACATTACAATGACCTTAAGCAACAAGTGAGTTTTACGACGGGCACGTTAGTGCACACGTGCTAGTTGATCATGGTATGTGATCTAGGATTAAACTAAATGCATCTGTGGAAAGTCGTTCTAAGACTATTGCCGAGGGAGTAGCGAAACGTGCTAAAGATAATCCTGAATCGTCACTCACCTTCTTTCAGATTCTTGTGGTGCTATAAGAGAAAAGAAAAAAGCGATTCAAGCAATGCACAATACGTACGTGCAGGCATTCGTCGATATTCCGCAGAAGGAAAGAAATCGTCTAACATTAACACGTTACGATAAACACGCAAACAACCTCGGAACGCGGAATCGGTTTCGGGAAGAGTGCCGCTAACGTCTCGCGAAGGGGCGGATCTCGGCGACTCCCACCCCGACTATCGCTACCAGTTGGCGGTCAAAATCGGTCCCGAATCTCACGACGAAATATTGACATTTGGCACGAAGGTTCGCGGCGATAGAAAACAAGAGGCCGGGGCCATTCCAGAGACGTCCGCATTCGTGCGGATATATCAAGACGAGCTGTACATGTCCCAAGCATCGTGGAAAAGCCGCACGCAGTAGCGGTAACGCCACCGCTCGTAAAGTGCAAATTCTACAACACTGTCAGCACGCACAGAACACGCTGAACATGAACAATGCCTTACAAGCGACAAGGGGGTTAAACAAACGGGAAGCTGTCCACGTTGGTCGGCAATGAAAATGAAACCAACGCGCTATATGTACCGTGCGCAGTCGACACCCCTCCCTAGCGGCTGCTCGTACTGTGCTCTGGGCAACGCGAAATACACGAACACACAATAACGCCAGTTCGGATGACGGCAAGCGATTCAACTTACCTCAACGGCAGACGTGAACATGTCATCCTCTTCCTTGGAATTTATGTCACCTTCGCTGAGTAATGGAGGTGGCTCCTTGAGGTCCGCCATATCTCCCGTCAAGATTCCAATTGCGGCGGCGCTGGCGCTGCATTCGCCAACCAGTGGCCTGTCGCTACTAGAGGAACTCGCACTCTCACCGCGGCGCCACATACCACCTCAAATCGCGTGTGATTTTTTTATGGATCAGCCCATGCTCTTCCCTCAACAATTTGCCGACGATCGTTTTTTGCGACTTCTACTCAACATTTCCAATTAAGCACACCTTTGGGCTAGTAGATACAAGTTAAACAAACGTGGCGGTGTTTTGCGCTGCATGGGCGGTACTCGGGACACTAACGATGACACAAAAAAACAGAACCAGAACAAGTAGGCGCAATCTATCAAATGTTAAATGCTAATCTTTCGTGATACGCCGCCATAAGATTTTCACGCATCACATCCCGATTTCCAAGACAACAGATATCCTGATACCTACAAAGTTTAAAATGACAAGCTAGTCCTAATGATGGGCTAATTCTTCTAAACATAAAAGCTGCCCACTACAATTAAGAAAAAAAAAAAAAAAGCTAGAACACACAGAACTTAGATACGCAACTTATTTTATAGAGCACTCATTTCAATGTTCAAACTATAAACATAAATTTTGCTGATCGCGAAGTTCTACCAGTTTGAGAATGGAGTACTAAATGCATCACATGTAATAAATAAATTCTATAATTAGGAAAGTCTATGATTAATGAAAGTGATTAACCTAACATTCATTCATGCCATGCCAACAACACAAGTGCTCTTCAAAGACAAGAGATAGTTTCAACCATCAGACACAAATAACAAAACCACATTTTTCACCAGAAATTCAAGAAGACATGACACAACATTATGTTATAAATAGCTTGTAAGATTTATTTCTTTTAAAACAGCTAACGACGGACTGTCCTGCACCTAATAGTGCTAGGTCACGTGGCTGTACACTGTGCTATTTACACTGAATGCTGTGTTTCACCATCCTCGCATTACAAAAAGAAAAAAAGAAGTCCGATGCAGTTTGTCCGAAACACCTCATAGCACGGTGATAGTTCACAGCGTCACATTTATCACCCAGAAACAGTGCCATGGCACCGAATGTTGAGCGCATGAGTCCATCAGTCGCGTTAACCATATCAGTCATTTCACACTGTACACAGGTCTGTTTCGATGAGGTCATCGTCTCTGGCACTTTCTTCCTGGCACTATGGCATATTCCTCCTCTCTTTGCTCAGCGGTCAGGTGACTGTGATGTGTACATATTTATAAAAGGGAGAAAGGACTTGGACGAAGCTCTTTCAATGTTTCAGTCACTGTCTGACGTAACAAGGGCTGTTTTCTTCTTTTTGCGTGGTGGCTTGGGCTTGGCAGCTTCTTCATCCTGGAAAAGCAATAAATGCCGCCCATATGTTACATACATGAAAAGGCCAAAAAGTGATGAAAACATCAATAACATCATTCATAAAGCATGTCAGAGAGGCAGCCACTCGCGAATACTATCCCAATAAAACGTATTACCAACAAACTCAGCTGATAAGTGTCTTCAAACTGCCTGTACTGCAATAAGACTGGTGCAGTGCCAGCTTAAGCTCAATAAGCAACAACCCGAGCAAACAGTGCCACTGTTAGCTCTGCGGGACCACTTCAAGTTTACGCACACCGATTGCGGAAATGAAAGGAGTACGCCAAGGCTGCTCAGGGAACGCACTACATACAGGTACACATGCTCTGAAAAGAGTCTTAAAAGTAATAAAATGAAACTGGATCAAAATAAACTACCTAGGTAGCGCACTTGCTTTTGTGGCTTGGATGCTGAAAGTGAATCAACAGGCCCTCATAATTTAAATAAAACCTCTCTAATATGAATACATTCGAAGTTTAGAGCGCCACACACCAGGTTTGACAATTTTGAGCTGACAAGCACAATGCGTAGATGAGGTCTGCCAAAACTTGAAACGCTACACGCCGCGAAAATGGGTCAAATTTCAGTGTGAACGCTGCTCCTCCTTCCTTTTGCAGTCACACGCCCGGAGAATGAGGGCATGACGTGTGCGTATGAATGGCCCTACGTACACTGCAATGCAGTGTACGTAGGGCCATTCACTGCAATGCAGTGATGTTTGTCCTTTACGTAAACAACTATGCTCTGACGTTGCCAACAGTGACACTTGACATGGCGAAAACTATTCAACACAACGTGTAGTTTTGTATTTGTTGCTTGAAGAGACCAATAAATGTCTAGATAAATAATGAGACGCAATAAGAGAATGTGAGCGTTCTTTCTTCTTTTTTTTTCCCCGTGCCGGCATTTGCCGACAAATGTGCCGGCATTTCGCATGCGTTCGTGTCCGCAGTCAGCCCATCGAGCAGACGACAGCCGTGGAACGCTCCAACGCATTCGCGCCCTCATTGTGCTCATCTATTCTACCGTGTCTAAGCCAGCATTTCTGAATTATCCCGCAGAACAGGCAGTAGACCTTGACACAAAATAATGCTGCATGGCCCCCCCCCCCCCCCCCAAAAAAAAAAACGCGGCTCGCATGCACTGGGGTCGGGCCTGTCGGGCACGTCATGCGTACGTGACCTCTTGGTCGGATGTTGGAGAGGGTAGGGAAGAGATTTGGCTTGAGAAGGCTACGCGGAGAAGCGGCAAGGGTTTCGAGCTTGCCTCCTCTCATCCTCGTTTCGCGCCGCTTCAAAAAGACAGTTTTCTCAGTTCAAATGAACCGATTAAAAAAAAATTGTGGCAAAATGTTCCTCATCGGTCACCCAACAGCTTCTATGGTCTAACTAAAATTTGGTATGGGGCCTGATGAGTGGCCCTTTATGGCAGAAAGGTTACTGAGCGATGAATGATGGTAAGATGAAAAACAACTTTTTGAATGAACTTGAGTAAAGGTGAGCTGAATTTGAAGCGGGCCTTCAAATTCAGCTCACCCTTTGTGGATACAAAGCTAAACTCACCTCACTGCTATCAGTGCTGGAGTCAGAGTCAGCCAGAACAGGCTTCACTCTTGAAGCACTTGCCTTCTGTGAAGAAGAGGAACTAGCATTGCTAGCCTTTCCCCCTCGAGCCCCCCTTGATGATGAACTTTTGGAAGGTGAAGCTTTGATCTCTTCAGCGTCATCCGCCAAAGCAAAAAGGTCACTGTACCTGAAAACGACACAGTACAATACAGTACAGAAGTTAGATTCAGGTCATGTGCAAAGACTAGCTCTTCTTAACAGCAGCGCCAAGCTTTTGTAAGTTCTTACGGCTGCAATGTGCTTTTCCTTCCACAATTATATATATACCGTATTTACTCGAGTCTACCGCCCCCTTGATTGTAACGCGCACCCGATTTCCACGACAAAAAAAGAAAAAACGTAAGACATCGATTGTAACGTGCACCCATTTTTCTCACTGGCCCGCACGATCACACCACTCGAAAAAACGACTCCTTTCAGGAGCGTCTTCCATTTAAATATGAAGTACAAGCGAAGCTTGTGCCCATCTGACGTGTAACAGAGCATTGCCGTCAATGTAGTTTTACCGTGGACCGATGTCAGTACGCGAACTTGCTTCGCCCCCTTCTTCTCGACGGCCGTGGTGCCAGGCATGTCGAAGTAAAGAGGCGTCTGATCGGCATTCCCGATTTGCCCAAGCAAGTAGCCGTTGTTGTGCCACAAGTTTAGGACGAACCTCTGAAAACTGTGAAGCTTTTCATCGTACTCCTCCGCAAAACTTTTCGCATATGCATGTTCTCCTTCGGAGGGAAAAGCCTTTCCTCTTCATAAAGTTAGTTAGCCAGCACCTGCTCGCTTTAAACTGGCTCCGCATTAGACCTTTTTCTAAGACTAATTGCATAGCCCACACTTGGAGCAGTTCTGTCGTCATGGGCCGCTGTGCCGCTCGCTGCTCAAGCACATACTCGCCGAGCAGCTCTTTAATTTGTGGAAACCGACCCTGCTGTGGTCCACTGAAGCCTTTGCGTGAAGCTTTGCAGTCGACAATCTTCTGCTTTTGTTTCCGCCAGTCCCGCACGCACGTTTCGGGAACTCCAAACGACCGCGATGCGGCCCGATTTCCGTCCGTTTCTGCACACGCGATGACTTTTCTTTTAAAAGCGGCATAGTGGTGCACTCGAGTTCTTGGAGTCGGCCCTTCCAGGCCGTCGATGCTAATGCACTACAAGATGACGAACTCCTCAGCACACGTACGAAGTGCCGCACATCGGAAAAACAGGCGGAAATGGCCAACGCGCCATGCCGACGCACGTAGGGGTGGCCATTTTGGAAATGCCGATGGCAATAGATTGACCGTATTCATTTTTTTTTTCCGTACTCAATTCTAATGCGCATGCGATTTATGAACTCGCTTAACCAGAAAAAAGGTGTGCGTTAGATTCGAGTAATTACGGTATACCTTAGTATGTAGTGCTGAATATGTGTCGAGAAGCAATAAATGCTTACGATTAACAAATGTCTGCTTATACAATAGATATCCTGCTTACAATGTTTTTCTTTTTTATCTATTGTTTCCAAATTTTTACATAGTGATGAAGATAACAGAGACTGCAATATAACTCATATTTAGTTGATGTTGAAATGTGTATCAGAATGCTCACTTATGAAAATATTAGTAAGAAAACACAAAAAACGTCTTGCAAAACTTTCCATCAAGTTTACTCACTTTGTTTTTTGTGCTTCGGTGGATGTGGCCTGAACTTGTGAAAGGGCCGCCTGAATGGCTCCCTGACCAAAGACTGGGATGAAAAATATTGACAAGAATGCATCAAATGCAGTGCTCTATTAGAGATAAATGAATAATTGCATATAGCCATGACTTTTCTCTCAGCACCTCTCTGTAGCACTTAGCATCCATGAACTTCAATATCGACAATACAGTAAGGAACTCTCATATTAGTAACTCTCGCACATATTACAACTATTCACACACGCAGTAAGGTTTACCTACTGTTCTATTATTTACTACACCTGTAAGTCTCAAAAATGATAAAAAAGCTGCTGTTGCATGCTATGCAAAAGGTGGTGCTTTTTTACAGACTAAGAACATTGAGCGGCTGCAGGCATAAGCTAAGTGAAACTTCAGACCGGCCAATCAGGCACTACAGTTGGAGTTCATGCAATGAAGTCCCAAAAATTGACATCTGTTCAGTGGACGGTACACTCTAGTTGAACAAAACCTGAAGGGACCAGGAAAATGTGTTCCGTCTCACAGGAATTCTGCTTACATAAGGTTGAGCATGGGTGCACAATTCAAGAAACTAATCATATCAGAGTCAGCCATTCCATTTAAAGAGCCCCTATACTACCAATGATAATTATTTTAACATTTCAAGCAAATGCATGCATCTAGCTAGCGCACCGTCACAATCAACAATGCCAAATGCGCAAGCCCTACGAGCCATGAGCGTCCCATAAATTCTGAGAAATAACCCCTACTCTCGTGGACCTTTGGCAATCCTCATGCCCTCAGCGCTCACTGTGCCGCCTGCTTGTCATCCACAATACCAGTTGGTCCACTTGCAGGAACATTTGCTTGCCATGACTCCTTCCATAGAGAGGAGAAGCACTCAGCCAGAAGAAGAGACATGCCGACAAACAAAGGAAAGAGCGAAACGAGCGAGGGCCTTTTTTAGGATCGTCAAACGCATGTAACTCCGCTATTACGACACCATTTTAAGAAATTTTCGTGGCTACACGTTTGTTGAAGACCCATGCACAACTACATTTCAACTTCTAGGTGGTTTAGGGAACCTCTGAGAGACTTTTGTTTACAGAGAGTCTACAGCAGCCCCCATACCGAGTGCAGCTATATAAACTAGTTTTAATTGAGCGATTGTCAATACCAGTAGAAGCATGACATTTCTCTCTGGCAAAAAAAGCCATTTTCTCACATGATGTCTGCTTGCAGTGCTGCCTCAGTTGGTCAAGATGAGCTAACGTTTGCTCTGGTGCTGGTCCTTGGTTTTTGCCAGCTAAGGGTTGCCTGTAAAAGAAGGAACCATTAATTTGAAGGTGTAGAGTTACAGCCTGGCTGTTGATACCTCTAGAATAAATACAGTATATATGTTACAGAATAAGTACAAAATAGATGACAATTGGGTCAGCATTTGAGCACCATAACCATTAGACCATCATGGCAGGTCTGTTTTGGATGTGACCTGTGTTGATGCATACACTTACGTCGAGACAGATGTGCCCACGAACGCGATACTACAGTCATCCTTACACACTCGCACATTAGACGGACTTTACAGGTTGCAATTATTCACTGAAGGCCGATTTTGGGATCGAAACACTAAATGTATGAGTATTAATCAGAAACTTCTGTAACGAGAAAAATTCAACCGAAAATCTGAATATAATGCGAAACAAATTAAGAGAAGACTACTGTTTACACTTCCAATGAATAAAGATCATATGAAGGCACTTTTGCGTGCTGTAACTTGCAAGAGGTTGATACAGTACACTCATGATAATTCAAACTCTGATAATTCATACTTTCAGTTAATTCAAGCAAAATTCAATTTTTTGGTTGGCCCTTTATTCTTTCAATGTATTTAAAAGCCTCTTAATTCAAACTTTTTGCAGTCCCATACTAGAAAATATCTGCTGCTTTCCCACAACTATTTAAAAATTTGCATGCTTATATATCCTAACAGTCAAAAAAATGAAAAATAAGCACATTAGGTCTTCAAGGAAAAAGGCTTTGCTAAAAAATGTTTGAAACAGAGAACACGCATGGTAAACCGTGATGCTTCTCAACTGGTATAGAGCTTTGTGCTCAAGGCACATACCTATAGCAAAGAAGCAGTTGGCAATTCATTTCTTTAAAAAGTCTGATCAGCAGTAAATGGCCAATAAACTTGTGGGCCTTACCTCTCTGCTTTCTGTTTATTGGGTGCAGTTAGGGTTTAAAAACACTTGCAAATTTTTTTAGTGTGATAAAATCATTGCCTAATCATAATGTGTGGTGTCACCTCACCCAGAGTCATCTGAGAATTGCTGATTATTCCAAGATCTTGGTAATTCAAACAAAATTCAGAGGTCCCTTCCAGTTTGAATTAACGAGAGTTGGCTGTATAAATGAGCTTGACCGTACTGCACACCGTAAAGCTTGCAGCTATACTGGTAGTATAAATTTCAGTAGACATTCATTTCCTATGATGCACATGTTGACTTATCGCACTGACCATCAACACACCACTACACCCAGGGAAAGCAAGGCAGCGTAGCAATGCCTTCACTCCAAGAAAATACATACTAAATAGAAAAGGTGTCTTTTTGCCCCACAACAATAATCATTGCCTAGCTTGCAGTGTTTCCTTTCTTAAAAACTTAGTGCTTACGACTTTCCTACCAAGACTGCTTAGTCGCCCTGATAACGCACACGCCTTTCGAGACACAAAAGTGCTGGCCCGCACGGCGGTAGTGTAAGGAAATGAATGCTGGACAGACGACAAATAGTGCTGTGGGTCAATAAGGCACCCTTTTTACTCTCTTGCTTGTAGAGTGCAGAGTGTTTGAACAATGGGTGTCACAACGAAAACAAAATGCTAGAAAACACACCGTTTCCGCTTGGCAGCTGAGCCTGTCTTAGCGAACAGGGATCCCACAAGTTCCGAAAGCTGCACCTCGTGCTCCTGGGTCCAGTACTTCAGTATGGAGACGACAAAGAGGTCGTTGCTCTTGACGTCTCGGCACAAAATGTGTTTGAGAAGCTCCATTGAGGGCCTTTTGAGAGGAAAGCAGAGTGTCAGTGCGTGGTGACACACACATTGTCATTTTGCTATAGAATGTGTAGGACTAACTCTAAGCCTCGATGTAACAAACTTCAATACGACAAAATTCTCTATGCTATATGAAGTATTTCACTTTTTACAACTTCACGTCCATGAAACACCACATGTTTGAGCCTAATACGATGATGCGCACTTATCTTTGATTTCAATGCAATGATGTTCGAGTGCTGTCGTAATCGAAGCCCCAAGGAGATAAGTTGAAAAATCTGCTGGGACTAGCTGTGAAATAGTTCAGTGAGTCTGGTTATTACCACTAAGGCTTTAGACAACAGCGCCTTACGTTTTGCGGTGTGCATTGCTAATCAACATTGCATGTTACCAAGTGGTTCGGCTAGATAAACATGACAGCATCGATGTCCCACGGTGGGCAACACCCGAGGTTTTCATGACAAACCACAGCAGCAGAACAGGCTGGATAGTTGATCTTATTCAGTAATTACTACAGTGCATTTGGCGTGCATTTCTTTCAGGTTCATGCATGACATTCAGCTGCTGTTTAAGCTGCAATTGCCAAATCTCAAGATCAAAATTATAAACTTTCTTGGACAGCACACGAGGTTTTGATGATGATACATGGTGGTAGAATAAGCGCAACAGCTAAGCTTAACCCATTGTACAACAGCGTGTTTGACCAGAATTTTTTTTTTTCATCATTCTTTGTGAGATATGGCTGCTGTGAAGATTTCAGTGGCAAAGCATCAAGTTACAATCATTTAATCTCAGTTAAAAAAATCTATCATCATTATTATTTTTTCATTTAAAAATCCTTCTAGTACTTCAATATTACTAGAATATTCTTGCGGCACTTGCTGGACAAAATAGAGCCCCTTGGCGACTGTACTTTGGACAAACCAATGTAATGAAGTAAATTGCTGACTTTACTGACTTCATTATATCAACGCATAACACTACAAATGGTTTATCTGGTCTTTACTTAGCATTAGAGATACTATATCAAATGAAACAACTGCTCCTTCATAAGCTTTTTCATGAAATTAACATAACTGTAGAGAAATGGAGCAAAACCATTTAATAATAACAAAATGTTTACCTTTCTTGCTTCAAGAGCAACAATATGCTTGTCAACGCTTCCGCATGGGCTGAAAATGTTACACGGCAATGAATACAAATAAACAACACTTTTTAGCAATGTAAAAAGATATGCTGCACACGAATAGTCACACAGAAGACATAGAAAAACGACAGCATCGACAGACACTAGCAAACAGTGCAGAAAGCCACTAAGACAACCTGGGATCACTTCAAACGTTTCATCTGTATAACCAAACACATACACACCTGCATACTTCGTTGTCAAGCACTAAAAAGCTATATATTTACATTGCATGTTTGTTCATTGACACTTTACTGACACACACTCACAGAAAGAAAATGGCCATGGAGAAACACATGCATGCATGCACAAGCACAGATAGACTGACATTATGCATGACGCTGCATGACGATTGGCTGATGTTTGTGACCGATATGCAATGACAACACAGAAATGGCCGTGGCACGTATGCAGCACTGCGGAAACTGTCAACAATGAACGTTGCATTAAATCCAACTATCCAAGTTCTACCTGACTTCTAATTGTGTTTTTGCTAGAGATGTGCAGCACTTTCAAATATTTTTTGAATAGTGCTTCCTGTTCGGTTTGATTCACACTGAAATTTGGCTATTCGAAGCATGCAAGCTTCTCGAAAATATATACAGCCAACGTCCAATTGGCAGTGGCCCTTTCAGATTTTTTTTATATGCTTCAACCCATCACACTTTGGCATAGTAACAAAGCTGCCTTTTGAACTCTGCTTGTATTGGCTCAAGAAAATTCTAGTACCAACATGGAGATGATAGACACAACAAAAGCGGGGGAGAAAGCCTGAAAAATTGTCTGCCGAAAATATTTGTCTGAAAAATCTTTGACGTGTCTGGAGCAGATTAAGAACTCTAGACTCGAAGGGAGCGTCCCTTTGTCCACCCCATCAGTTGGGCCTCCACAGAAGTTGGAAGAGGAGAGACTGAGGAAGTAGCATCCTTTTCTTTCACATGTAAATTGTTGTCGACCGCATCTTGGTAGAACCTAATCGTTTAAATAAATGCAATTTGGCCTCTACATTCCCTCATGCTTGATAAAACTACGAAGCACCACCCCGCCAGTGCCTCACCAACCTAGCCAAAAGAAACAGCTTTATTTTGCACTTCTAAGAATATGCTTCGAAATTCTCTGAAACTACTTTCTGCAATTTCGCTTCGAAGTATTAGAAAAAGATATTTTATTCAATTCACACTTAGACTTCAATATTAGAATTCACTTTGCACCCAAAGTTTCGCTATTCACACAGCCTTAGTTTTTTGCACCTGAACATCTGGAAGTCTTCCAACTGTTATGTTTGCACTGCTTTTTTACTGACTTTTGCTTACTTCCTATAATTATGCAACTCACTTTATTTAGTGCAACATTTCTAATCACATTATCAATTTTTTTTCATCTAAAATTTTCATTACGTCTCACCTCCCTTATTTCATGCCTCTCATTGGGCCATAAGGATAAATACATGAAGTAAAAAATAACTACTGAAGCTTTTGTGGGACTTAAATACCCCCGCATACAGGCTACCTTGGTGGGACAATCGCTGTTGCTTTGTGGCCTGTCGCCACATACAGTTGAACCAGTCTATAAGCGACATGCCCAGGGAAGCTGTTATTGTCCCAAAACATGAGGTGCCTCTGATAAGCATGGTACTGCATTGCCATTTTCAGATCAACCCCTATATTAATGCACGCACACTGGTGTCCCTTGTACCCATTTGTCTCTTACATCACAGCCTCCCACAAAAGGGTGCAACTGTATCAATCAGCCATTTTATTGTCAAGATTTCTGGTAAATCGATAATAACTCAAAGGGTGAATTTAGTGCAACGAGTGGCGCTCCTTGTTCTGCTTCATTTTTTTCGCAACTGCGTCTTGTCACCGTTTACAACTTTTTTTTTTTTTTCCGCTTCTGTAGAAACAGTTGACATGCCATTGTGCATGCTCAATATCCGCATTACTTTTACTGCACCAGTAACAAGCTTTTCCTACATCCACCAATAGAGCCACTCGCTTCTCACCTTGAAACTCCAACTTTGGCAAGATGGGAAGGACGTAGTCAACCGGGATGTTGTGCGCTGCTATCAACTGCCACAAGCAGAACTGCTCAAACGTTTCCCATTCGAGGCTTGCATCTGTCAGGGGAGTAAAAAGCCCACATTGATTAACGAGTCACAATTTATATGCTTCATCTGTGCATTTAGCTGACCCAACTCTGCAATCTCACCAGTATTATTATAGTAAACTGTACACCTCCCCTGTAAGCTGCGTGCAATCGTCCACAAATCTGTGGCTGGAAAAACAGCTGTTCACATAACCATACCAATCTGAGATAAAAGTGGTAAAACCACATGACACTAATACACGATCATAAAAAAGTGAACTAGTACTTCTGCATGAACCTTTAAAAGAAACACTACTATGTATAACAAATTTACAATGTAGACAAGAGAGAAAAGAGGAAAAAGGAAGGCAGGGAGCTTAACCAGATGCTAGGATCCAGTATACAACCCTGCACTGGGGTTGAGGAATAGAGTGTTCAAAGAAAGAGATAAAAAAAAGTAAGAATAAGACATGGACATTACGCTCAGAGTCGTTCAGACAAGCTAATAGTTCGCAAGAAGCCCAGTAGCGCTTGCACGGCCTTCTGCAGAGATGAGTCTGGACAATGGCTTAGTATACTCTCCTCTGTCAGAGGCTGGTCATCTAACTTGTTGAGTATATTAGAAAGATATTGAACATGTATGCTACATTCGAGGCAGTTACACAGGACGTGTCAAATCGTCTCTTCATCTCCGCAGTGTACTCAGGCGACGACGGCTATCCCTATGAGTAACATGTAAGCACGGCTAAACGCTACGGTCAACTATAGTCTGCACAGAACAGTAGCGTCACCTCGTCGGAGTCTTGTTAGAAGCCGTAATACTTGTCTCTAAGACCAACGTTGCTAGGAAGCTCTGCATGCTTGTTTGCCAATGCTCCACGTCACATTAGAATGAGCCTCGTTCTATGCATGCAAGATTACACTGCCTTGATCCTCCTTTAGGGTTACAATGAAAACAAAGTTTCTCACTCAATATGGAGATGAAGGAGTCCTTTCGGAACATCACCATGTTGCCCTGGAGTATGTGACAGACCAGGTCTTGGAGCTGCAACCAGAGGCAGTGTTGCCTACTCAGAAATGCACACGAGCCCTTTTCAAGCAATAAAACTAGGCTTGTGCAAATAATGGAATCCTCCTAATATTTGAACAACTGATTCAGTATGTGAATTTGCTTTGAATCGAATTTAAATTGCTAGAAATTTAAAATTTTTCGAAAAGAACAAATAAATGCATATTAATGCCCATGTAGCTTCACCTGAGAAGGTGGTTTCACTGCAGTGGAGGGGTGCTAATTCGTGAAAGCACTTATTTAACTATATTAGTTTGCATGTAATTGCCTGTAAAAGTAGTTTCACTGCAGTAAGTTGTGCTAAGCAGTGAAACAACACACTGAGGTAAAATCCACACTGTCGCGAAGCCCCACTTCAAAGTTAAATAAAGGTATTATTCTCACATTGATTCATTTTCTAGATTTAATACTGCTATACCGACTCATATGCTCTAAGTATAGCAAATGCAGCATATTTTACAGGCTATTACTTGCATTCTAGCGGAAGTCAAATGCTGCTACAGTTTAAAAAAAGGAGGGAGGGTCATTTGAACAGGTCTCGTTTCAATTAAAAAAAGAATATGGTGCAGGTTAGTTAGTTCATGAGTATTAGGCCATATTTTCTTCGCAATATACAATATATATACCATTCAAATCTGTTTAAAATTATTCTACCAAAACCAATATTCGCATAAAATTTGCTTCAAACCTAAAATTCAGTATTCGCACAAGCATAAATAGAACAAATCAGACTTTAAAGACAAGTATACCTGCAGTGACAGTAGCAATGTACTGCAAATATTCATGCAAGGGCTGCGTTTTTAAACATTAAGTGTACATGTTGGAAACATTACCTTACCCAAGCTTATTGCTACTCTCTTTATAGAAGTGGAACTTACCCAAACTTACTTTTCCCCCAATTTTCAGGCTATAAAGTGACTGCACAAGTGCCAAGAGTGTAAACCACAGCTTGATTACACCACGATCCCAGTGCTAGACTGGCATCCTGAGTCACCACCACTAGGTGGTGACTCAGGATGCCAATGAGCACTGATGCAAGCCATAAAAGGGATCAAGTTATGCCATTGTAAATGTATTTACTGAACTACCTAGATAGCATTGCTAGAGAGAATGTACACAGTGGCGTTATTGCATAAATGAGATATACTTTGACTTGCAGCGAAGCACTAGCTGTGTTAATGTCACACAACGTCCCGCGCTAAAGAAATAGTAGGAAAATAGTTTTAAAAGCAACACGTGCCCACATTTGAATATATAGTACAATTTCTGAAAATTGCAACTTTTTTCCACAGCTAATACTTCAGTTAAGTAATCTATGTTACTTCACCTGCAGAGCGTCGATGCAAGACACAATGAGGTTGAGGATGTCCGCATTGCCGATGGCAACATTCGGGAACTATAAAAAAAAAAGAGTGCTCAATTAAGACACGAAGCAAGATCAGTAATTTGCCCAAACTGATGTGGTTTAAGCCTCACCTTTATATCTAGCAAAAATGTATACCATTAGTGTTTTGCGCCAGAACTTTGAGTGAAATAGCACAGCGCTCAATAAGCACTTCCCTCATACAAACATCAACAAAACTCAGGAGATTTGTTACTTAGCATACCTGTGTGTATATTTCGGGAACCAGGTAGCAAAACAGTCGAACGTCATCATCTTGGCAGAGCTGTAACAAGTTAACCGAAAGAAAGTAAAAGTGAAAGTTAACACTTTAATAGTTATAGTAGTATTTTATTTCCGGGATGTGTATACCAAAAGCAAAAGGTGTACAGAGCGTAGCTGAATACCAGACCACCACCACCACCACCAACAACAACAATAAAAACCCAAAGAGGTACAACATTTCACAGCCAGAAACAAGCACCATGTTGTTATTCCCTCAGCTCCCGCCACACAAGCTTGCATTGAGTTTTTATTAGAAAATACGACTGATTCTGAGAGTCATATACAAGTCTTACTAATCTGCTCAGGACATATTAAAGATTGCATTTTATTGACATCTATCTTTAACACAATATCAAAATGAAATCATAGAGCTGTTTACAATTATAAAATATTGGTTGAAAACTATTTTAATTGATGCCACAGTAAAAAAGTGATTATCATTAACATGTAGGCAACATGTAGGTCAAAGTTCTGATATACAAGTTTTACACTGAAACTCAAGTGCTGGCATTTAAGTGTACTCTTGTATTTTCTTTTAATTGCACAGTTCCAGCGCAGCAAAACTTACTTATGTCTTTAGCTCAATTAGAATAACATGAAATCCACCTTTACTGATAAAAAGATAACAAGACTTAAACAAACGCTATAAATGTAACAACAGGGAATTCATGTCAGGAGAATCCGCTGATGCAGAACAGAGACAACTAGACATCAGAGGGAGAGGTTGTTACCCTGTGGTACACATTAATAGGTTGATGACATCAATGGCAGCTCTGAAGAGTCAAGGCCAGAAGGTTAGCCATAACCTCTTAAAGTTGAACTAGCTGAACAAGCGGGGGGTGAAAACAAAGGTGGAAAAACAAACCTTGAGGTCATGCAGGAGGCAGGTGGACAAGGCATTATGACTTCGGGCGTAGTCCCGGTAAGACGTGTAGCCTGACACAGTGCCTGAATTGGCACTGCCCGAGGCACGAAGAAAGTACAGGAGCCGGTAGCCAAGCCGAGGCTGGTGCTGTCCTAGTTCCCAGAGCAGCATCAGCTGGGCTTGCCTGCTGGGGTCTTCCTCTGGTGTCTGGCAGAGGTTCCTAGGCGAGACAAAATGTAAGCCTCATAAGTGAACCTTTCCTGTGAAACTACTCAATGAACAGTTCAAATGGTGAGAAATGAAGAAAAATCTCACCTGAATATGACAAACAGCGGTGTCCCTAAAGACTCCTCGATAGACCTGCACAAAGTGTAAATTAATTTTTGGCAACCTCCCATAATCATACCTATTTTGCATATACACTGCTTCATAGCGTAATGCCTATACTATCCGTTGTAATATAATAAATAATTCAGAACTCACTCATCGTCCAATTCTTGCGGAAAGAGTTTCCTCGTAAATTCACCATCCAATATCTGGGCAAGGCAGGTCCCAAGCGATGTTGCAGTGTCCTGGTCAAAATCCTCCTACAGGAAAAAACAGATATGTATCAAAAAGTATGCTGCTGTCTTTTAGAAACGAGGTTTGCCTTCTCCCAGTACTTACTCTGGAGGATTCAACTGCTTCAGCGAAAATTATTTACTGAAAACAGCACAAACCTTACAAACTGCCAACACCCACTATAAAAACGGGAGATTTATTCAGAAGTACCAACTGCACACAAGAAATTGATGGAGGATGTCTCAGCAACCTACGCTTTTGCACATGACATTGTGCCGTAATGGCAACGAATTGCAAAAAAAAAAAAAAGACTTGAATCAAGAAAAATCAATGTCAGGCTAAAAAGGAACACGAAGGAGCATGGCAAAGACAAAGATAATGCAAAATAGCCTGGAAAAATAACAGGACTTCATACTTAGCAACCAGCCTTTAGAATCTGTGCACGAGTTTTTAAATCCAGGTCAATTACTAACAGAGTAGGTAGGGGGGGGCTGCTCATGATAAAGAAATTCACAGAACAATTAGAATTGGGGATGGTATGACGAACATTCCCAAACCTTGAAAGGCAGGTAACTCACCACTGTCCATAAAGTAAGGTGCGTACAATCATTACACATTGCCAGAAACTAAGATACAGTACCGAAACTGCGAATTGCAAAGAAACTCTGGAAAAAATTTAAGGATAATGCAGCATTCGATGGAGCAGAACATTATAGTTATAAGGTTAAAAGACAGTACTCTAACCTAGAGAACGAACTGAACTTGCTGATGTTGTTGCCATGAGGGAAAAAAGATAGATCTGGACAAGCCACGTAATGCACAGAAAGTCAGTTCATTGCCACGGCAAGTTAGAGCAATGGAACGGACACCAAGGGATAGGGTATTCAGATAGGTGCAACAGTGACTAAGGTGATGTGATGAGATAAAGGAGTTTACAGAAATAAAATGGAATCAGTTTGCATAAGATTTAAATAGGAGATTATTGCACGTGGTCTTCATTTTTAAGGCGAGATAAAATAGGCTGAATATGATGATGGTGATGACGACTTACCTATGAAATGCACTCATGCTTTGTGATAGACAAAATGTTAAAAATAGTGGGCACAATACTGAAGCTTCAGCATAAAACTGAGCCAAGTTGAGGACATTCTTAAAATGTTGAAAGTTGCTTTTGGATTTCACCTCAGCTAAACATTGTGTCAGATGTACCAACCGAGTATCATGACCATTTGTGCGTGTGGATCCTTCTGACAAATAAGAAATAGCTCACCTCACGTAGGATATCTTGCAGGAGACCTTCAACAATTTCGCACTGGATTTCACTGTTCCTGTGAAAAACGAGGCCATAAAGAACACTTAATTTACTAATGCAGGAAGTGGACACATTGCAGCAGACAGTGTCAATAAAATTCCAGCCAATTATTTTCAAAATAGAATCAATTACCATCATAATAGAACCTTCGTATAAAAGATAAAACTTGCTGAGAAAAACATAACTCTGAAATTACTTTGGTCAAAGGCATATACAATGAAAGTCAAAGTTGTCTTACAGGCTCCTAGAAGTCTTGTTAAGGTGCATTTGCGCTGTAGGCATTATGACTTTACTGGACAACATGATGTTTCAAGCACACTCATGGGAAGCATTGAAGTAGCAGCACAAACCTTGAATATCGCAATATTAGCTCTGTGTCTATGAAACCATACACACTCAAAAAAAAAGCGTCCGTTAAACAGTTGCACAATTTAGATACATAACATTATTAATTTATCAAAGCTATAAGGTGCATCTATCAAGGCTGTAAGTTATCAGGCTCCAAGGTGCCACTACTTTTTGACTCCTAGATAATTTTTTTATTCGGAAGGCTACCGTTTGGCATAAAAATATAGATAATAACAAAAGAGGCTCCTCGCACATTTAATATCAACTGCAAATGAGTATAAGACGCACTTTTCCTTCTGTAGGTCCAGAACTTTTTTCCGGATGTCCCCACTGAGCTGGTTAAGGTGTTCCGAGATGTCCATCTGCTCTGCTTTGCTGGGCTCCCGAATGGGCTGGAACTTGATGTCCTTAGAACGCAGCTTGCCTAAGTGAAAATTCGCCACAGTTGTGAAACAGCCCTCTGTGCATTTTTCTACAAGAAGAGCGTGCGCAAGTCTCTTCCTGTTTTGCTGTTGTGCGAAAGGCAAGCCTGCTTGCAAATGAAGATAGAGAGAAATTATTCAAGAGAATGGGAGATATTGGAGCATTTACGATCGGGGTCTTGCATCCAGGGTTCGTTCCACTGGCCTTAGCAGCCTGCCACACTTGAACCAAGGGAACATGCTGAACTCTCGGGCTCAAGCTGACGAGTTGTGCCTCCCACAAGGTGGTACGAGGTCTGCCGAGAAAATTTGGCTAAGTTGTTTGGTTCACAATCACACCCTCATGAGATTGGGTAGAGAGACTGATGAACCACGGGTGTACGGCCGCCTAAAGCGCCGGATGTGTCGCGTGTCATTTCGGTAAATGCGGAAATACGTCAATCCGAGTTTTTTTTTTTGAAAGTTGGCGGCTTTTTTCTTATTGAGGATTCTGTGAGGCATTACACATTTTTATCACGTGAAGTGTAAGTGCAGTGCTGCCAATTCGAAGGAAATTTCCCATATTGAGGTAATTTCAAGGTCCTAATGATAAAAAGAAAAATTTCGCCATTTCAAGGAAAATTCAGCATGTTCCTACTCATTTAAATGCTTTCAAATAAATCTCAACATATTCATGAGCAAAACTTTGCACTTAGATTGCCCTTTGTTTCTACTTTTCAAATAATGTCATATAACAACCTCGATCGGTCATATAGTGGCCGCGATCGTTGGTTTTATGAATATTTAGAGACATTACTGTGATCCCACTGTGTCCTGTGAAATGCACACAATTACCCGTGTATTTATGCAAATCACTTAAGACTCGAATTAGACACTTACCCTTTGCCTCAATATTATAGAGTGCTTTAGCTAGCACTGCTAATTCCACTGCACATAGAAAATACACCAATAATGTTCATATTGACAAAAAAACATGATGGCCACTTTCATTAGCAATGCTGAACGACCATTAAACAAGTGCAGCGCCAGGTTCACTCTGATCATTCAGCAAAGATTATCAGATTCGCTAATATCCTAAGTTGACAATCTGATTGTAAAACTTCTCGAAGTGTGCAAACTCTGTGCCTATTACTACAGACGAGAAAGCTGAGTATGCAGCCGATAGTGCGAGTGTTCAAACTTCTGACCAAGGTGGCACAAGCTGGCATCCAATGCGAAGAGTGATTCAGTACTGCTACATATTCATCGTTACTTGACCTTTGTTCAAATAATTCATGGTTAGAATTATGCTAAACACATAACAAAAGTGCAGGTGACACAAGAGTTTATGACTTATTTTAAGTATTCTATGTGAGAAAAATTTTGGTTAAAAGAGAGAAATATCAGCTTTCTTGGAGAGAAATTTTGTATTCACGGGTTGGCAGCCCTGCTCTGACGAGCAAGCAAGAAAGATACGTGGAAGAAAAAAGACAGCAGCAAAGACTTGCCTATCTTGCAATACATTTGGTATGCCTAATTAGACTTACAGGCAACCACATTATGCAATGGAAAGAAAGCTATGAGAATATAGCTTCTGTCTATGTGTAAACAAACTAAGTACAGTCGAACCCCTTTATAAGAGACACTGATCTAGGCGACAAATGGGTATAAAAGACACCAGTGTGCCCACATTGAAATAGGGGTTCATAAGAAAATGCATACATGGTACCCTTTTTATATCAGACATCTCATATAAAAGACAAGGATTGCTGCACTATGCACGTCTCTCACAAAGGGGTTCAACTGTAATAGGGCAGCATTACGATTAAAGACTTCGTTGCTTAGAAAAGAGCATTGAATCAGTTAAACTCGGACTCATGAGGACTTTGCATTTGCCCACATATAGAAGGCCGAAGTGGTAAAGCAAGTATAACACTCAATGGTGTCTTTTGTAGTTTGTTGGTCTTGTAATCTGACTGTTAATGTTTTTGTTTTCCAAGCCTTAAATGACGCTGGTGAAAACAAAAAAGTTCTGATAGGAGTGCTCTCATTCATGAGCACTTTCTCTTTCCAAACTTTCCTCAATTGCCCACAAGTACCATATTTTCGCGCGTATAACCCGCACCAGAAACCCAAAAATTTCAGTGGCAAAGTGGAGGTGCGGATAATACGTGGGGTTTTTCCTATAGTGCTGCTTTACAGCAATGCGTGTTGTGCTGTGAAGCCCCTTAACAGTGTAGCGAAGGCTACGAAGGCGGTTTCCGCAAATTCTTGTTGCTCCACAACTAGCACGGCAGCTTGCGGCTGATTTTGGTTTCGCTTGCTTGCATCATTGAAGCGTTTAGAAGAACATTTGGGGAGAGACAATTCAATTGTTCAGTGTAAAATCTCACTGTCACACCACAAGTATATTTTTTGAACGTTTGCGGCCGCTCAGTGACCTTCCACATGTCCCTACGTCACGGACGCCATGTTTACTTTTGGAAAGAGCTTGCCGAAAAGGTGGTGCTGTCTAAGAAAGTTCCATAATAAATAAAGTAAGTTCCATAATAAATAAACCAGTGTTTATTTCAGCAAGACAAATGAGATATTATCAGTAAATTAATGTACTACTTTTTGACGCGGTAGCAGGCATGCATTTCGGTTCTGTTGTTTCCAGGGTGCTGTTGCAGTGTACTAGAAGGGGTAGTGCTGTCAAGTTTTCGCCGAGTGTGAGCGCTCTTTACCTCGCTGATACCGCTAGTTCTCCACATCTCGACCCGTTCGCCAAGCCTAAGTCGATCTGTTCTGTCACTATGAGTAGCGTACGGCGGCAGGCCTTCACGGCACAGCAAAAGCTTAAGATCATCGCCGTTGCCGAGAAATTCGGAAATCGCGAAGCGGGAAGACGGCACGATGTGGACGAGTCCTGCGTGCGACTGTGGAGAAAGAAGAAAGAGAGCCTACAAGCCACGCACCGCGACCGTAGGTCATTTCGTGGCCCCAAGACCGGTGCCTACGCTGAGCTGGAGGCGGAGCTAGTAAAGTTCATCGAAGATGTGAGAAGCAGGGGTCACGCCGTATCCACCGAGATGGCCAAAGTGGAAGCGCGGCGACTTTCGAGGGAGCTAGGCCTACCTCACGAGTTCCGTGCGAGCTGCGGATGGCTGCACCGCTTTATGAAGCGGCAAGGGCTTTCAATCAGACGGCGGACTACAATATGTCAACGCTTGCCAGCTTCTTATGAGGAGAAGCTGCTCAAGTACCAGAGATATGTAATTGGCCTGCGAAAGCAGCACAATTACATTTTCTCGTAAATCGGCGATGCGGATAAAACTCCTGTTTATTTTGAAATGCCGTTGGACACAACGATTGAGAAGACGGGCAGCAGTTCAGTGAGCGTGCTGACCGGCGGTGTGCCCTCGCCGACGGCACGCAACTGCGACCGTACGTCTTCTTGAAAAGGAAAATCTACCAAAGGTTCATTTGCCTGCCGGTGTGGTAGTGCGCCCGCATGAGAACGCGTGGATGAACAGTGACTTGTCCGTAGACTGGATCAAGGCGGTATGGGAGAAGAGGCCCGGTGCGATGCTCGCAAAGAGGTCCATGCTCGTTCCGCGGCCACACAACTGAGGAAGTGAAGGACCGCCTTTCACACAACGGCACTGACTTAGTTGTTAAGTTGTTATACCCGGTGGAATGACGTCAATGTTGAAGCCTCTAGATGTGTCGCTTAACAAGCTCTTCAAAGCGCATGCCAGGCGTTGTTACGCCGGGTGGATGGCCGAAGGCTGCTACGACTTGACGCCGCCAGGACGAGTCCGAAGGCCTGATATTGCCCTATTCTGCAAGTGGATTGTCGAGGCATGGAAGGCCATTCCAGGTGAGATGGTGCGAAAAAGTTTCAAGAAATGCTGCATCACAAACACATGGATGGAACCGAAGATGACCTTGTGCATAATAGTGAGGACTGCTGCTCAAGTGATAGCTCTAGTGAGAGCAGTGACAGTGAGTGAATTGTAACTGGCCTTGCACACAGCGTATTCTGCTTGCTAAATAAAGCTTTTTCTGTCTACATATGTGCTATGTTGCTTGAGCAGTAGCTTTTGTACAGCCTTTCCTGTATATCAAATGTGCGGGCAATACGCGAGGATTTTTTTTTCTTTCTCGGTGAGCTGAAAGTGGGGGTGCGGATTATATGCAGGGGCGGGTTATACGCGCAAAAATACGGTACTGTGTTCAGATGTCATGCTTAGCACTTTACTGTGAATCTGTTCTCTAAACCCACTAAATGCACTACTTCTTTTTCGACTAGCTGATCAGGTTGCACAATTATTCCATTGTAAGCAAGGCAACAGGGAAACGTTATTAGCATGCAAAAACAGCACCTGATGCACGAACAATGTCAACACTAGCAAAATCATTTATTATGCACTTTATTGAAGTGGCTATTAAAATAGGTCAGAATCGCTTGGCCTATTTGGCGAGTTGGTGCTCCCGCCTACGCTACTGCGCAAACTAGAAGTGCAGACTCACCAAGTGGAATGTCGTCTTCGTCTTCGCTGAACTGAGCCTCGTTTTCGCAGTTAATCACAGAGTTGTGGTTGCCGTCCAAGATCATCGCTCCGGGAGGCATGGGCACTGTTTCCTCTACTTTTCCTGAATACAAGAAACAGTCAATGCTGAGTCAATTCAACACCCAGTCAAATTTATAGGACACTTCATAGACATACAACGTTTGTTTTATCACACTCGCTAAAAGGTTTTGGCTGCCGAAGAACTTTTGGTGAAGTTAAATTAACATTTCAAGCCTTTTAATGGTTACTCTATGGTGCGCATAACGATACAAGTCTGATCAGTGGTCATATTTTCAGAAAGCACATATTTTTTTGATGATTTTACAAATGTGGATCCCGTCCTCTGCAGTGCAGGGTTCAATTCCCTTCACTATTGTGCTGGGGCCTCTTGATGGTTTATGGTCTGGAACTATTAAATATTCCTAATATGCGAATGTTATTGATCAATTCACTCACCTTCAACAGGAGAACAAAACTCTGCAAACTGCTCCCTGATCATTGTTCGAAGCTCCTTGTCGAGCTTGGGGTTGTCAAAAAGAGGGGACAATGACCTGCAAGATGACATTGCACATAGGAGAAATCCATTTTCAGTCCTCCTCATTAGAAGGTAACAAAGGTTTGTAGGCAAATAAGGTCGAGTGACTTACGCGAGAACCCGTTTCTCCAAAATCTGTCGCAGTGATGTGTAAATGCCCTGTTTAACCTGAGCCGCTAAGCTCTTGCAGAAGTTCGACATTATCTGTAAAGAGAAAACGTGGAGTATAGAGATGCCGAATACAAAACCCACAGATTATCAAATGGCATGTCAAAAACAGTGGCAACACCTGTGACGCGGCCTGTGATTGCGAGTGTGACAAAACCAGGACACTAACAGTATCAAGACCAGGGAAAGTTTCCATGAATAGAAAACGTGAAAATATGTTTTTTGGTCGGCTGAAGTTGCCCTGTGTGGACATGGTTCGAATAGGTAAGAACCCCAGATACGTAAGCGTGCGATAGCAGAGTATGTTGAAGCAGTGCATGAACGTCCAGGAGAATAAATTTTTTCGTTCTAAGAAAAAATCCTGTCTCACTCTCTACTTTTAAAATCACCTGCAACGTTTGATTCAAGTAAATGTTTTTTTTTTCTTTTGGACGAAATCTAAAAGCCCTTGTAAGTAGCGGGGTCGGCATAAAACGGTGTCATATAACTAAGGATTTTAATACATTAATTCTATGGAGATTTTGCTGGGATGAAACCGATTCGTCGTAAAATGTCGGTCGTTGCGGAACCATGGAACTTATAATGGAAGTTCTTCTGTAGTAACAAAAGCTTTCAAAGCCCGCCTTTTCAAAATTTCGCATTCAGTGTTTGAAGCAACTGAAAAAAGAAGTTTTGTCTTAAGGAGGCAAACTGGTCTTACACATTTTTTTGTTTATTTCTTCAGTGATCTTGATCAAACTTCACAAGATTATGCAGTTTTTTGCTCATTTAAAATATTTAACTAGTTTTCTTATAACTCATCTTGTTCCTGAGATAAGTTCCCCCCTACTGTATAAGGTCACCATAGAAAAAAAGAGTGCTTAATTAAAAGTTATATTTATGATATCTCAACATCGACCAATGACTATAGATTAAAAGTATGCAAGTTTTTTGTTTTTAGGCCTTCTTGGTTATTTTACAGTAAAATTAACTATGAATTTTCAAAAGCAGTTGGAATTATGTTAGAATTTTGATGAGTAATTAATTAAAAAGCCTTGTGCCCTAAATTCTGCTCCCATACTTGTATTCTACACACATAAAGGTTTCCATTGCAACAAGAGTTATTGTTGTACCTGCCCTAGCTGCAGATATATTGAGGCCTCAAAATTGAACAGTCGTAAATTTACTTTTTTTGAGAAAAATAGAAAAAAACTGAAAACCCACAGCTTCTTCAAAAAGCAACAATCATAATGCGCATGTTTTGCAATCTTCATAAAGGCGCTCATAAATTCGTAGCAGAGCTTCTAACACAAGTGCCCGCAAATTATAAAGCAGCCTCGAAGTCGGTTCCCCATTTTTTTTTGCAGGTTCTGCATGTTAACCGCACCAAGAATCTGGACAGTTAGAACAGTTAGAATGACATTACAAAAAAATTACCACTTCCTGGTGTGTGAAAATTTGTAGAGAGATAGAAAAATACTTGCAGAAACCAAACATGTAAATTTTAAAAAACGAATTTTTTTGTGTCACTTTTTGGTCCCACAGACCAGTCTGCCCCCTCAACACAGAAGAAGAGAAAAACATACACACTCACCCTGCAGAGAAAATCTAATAGTGTGGCTGTAATGGCTGGGTGGGGTCGCATAGAATGGTACATCACCAGAATGGCAGGCTCTGCAAATCAAGTGAACAAGAGTACAGCATTTTTTTTACATAAAGCCCTAGCACATTTTGCTTTCATAGTCCACAGTTGTGAAAACACAGGATAATCTTATTAATTACCCATACCCACACTGACTTTGACTCCTGCTGTGCAGGGTTAGACCAACTTTTCATGCTATACAGATAATGCGAGAAAAATTAAATGGAAGATAGTTAACCCAATCATAAGGTCTCTTTATGTTGTTTTTTTCTAAAGAGATATCATTAACAGGGATTCATAATTGCTTTTGACATAAATGTTTAAGTGTGTGAACCACTACGATTATGTGAAGAGTTTTCTTAAAAGCATGCATTCGAGTGAACATCAGGAAGCCTGAATCAGGCTTGTGCACTGACCTTACAGCATTCTTATCAGCACGAAATCCTGTAGTGTTAGTGGTGATATGGACATCTGGAACTACACAACCGTGCCCCAGGTACACTATACGTCAGTCCCAGAAGCCTACCAATCAGCATGCTTTTGCAGTCACTAGGGCTAAACGAAGAGGTGCTTCGACTTCAAACTTATACTATATTGTTAGCCTTTTCGTGCCCCACTCCCCCATGCAATGTCTTAACAAGAAAACTTTAAGGTAATAAAATGAATGAATAAGTAAACAAATGAATGAAGAGATCGCAACATCTAGTCAACATTCCCTCACCTATGTTCATAATGTTGTCCCTGTCAGGCGAGAAGAACAGCCAGTCGTAGAACAGAGCCAGCTTGGCATTAGAAGCCGCCACGTTGGAGGTGCACGTTGTGAGCAGCCAGCCAATCACGGCCCACCGAGGGATGATGTCCGAGCAAAGCAGCTCGTTTGATGGATGGATCACACCACAGATGAAGCGAATGAGGTCGCAGCGAAGCGACTGGCTCTCGGGTGTGCTCAGGTACTGCACGTGGCAAACCATGAGACGGTGAGAGGATACGTACCAACATGTGCACCCTATGCAAAATAACTGACAGGACATGGTGAAAGGGACAACAGCTGCATGTCACAGCGCCTGCCATATGGCACCTTCCTCTATCTTCTCTTTTCCTTTTCCTTTAGGCTGCAATCAGCTGTGCCTCACGAGACACTAAAATTTATTTCGGCGAAATGCATCCATAACTCCACTGTCACCACGAATAGACAATAAATTCGGGTTTCAGGCATGCAAAATAGGAGTCCACTTTACCGGATTTTTACGGAAATGAGTCACCCTAGCTGCTCCAGCTACATACTTCAGCTCCAATCATCACCATGTTAGTGGTGATGATTGACAAAAAGGGCAAAGTTAAAATAAACGCTTTCCCAGTGACCGCATGTGCTAGTTTAACTAGCATGCCCATTTTAAAAGCAGCCAAGCTGAAAGACAAAACGAAAATAACAATAACAAGCACCACAACCCCTTGCTGCACGAGTATACAGCATGCAAGTTTATTGAATAGTATAAAGTATTTGTGAAGAGCATGCTAAATGGCGAGCAATGTTCTTTAATACAATTTACATACTCAGTGTATACTGTGTTCTTTCAGCAAATGTGTTGATTATGGAGATTCCAACATAAGGCTAGCAACAGCTCTCCTATGCTGTTGATTATGACAGCTTTTCTTCCTTGCCTTCAGTCCCAGTGTCCCAACACTACAAGTAATGATTATGTAGTAATATAGTAGTTGTGTAATTTATCATTATAGTCATTGATTGATTAAAGACAAACATATGTCTTCTGATTTACGCTGCTGTTTTTTGATGTCTTTTGCTACATTAACTGTACAGGTAGATGCTAGATAAAAAAATTAGGATTTCTGGTGTTGGTAGCAGCCGAAATGGTGCTATGGTCTGCCACAAATGCATGTCGAAACTCAATGGTGTTCTTCAGGCAGTCATAACAGCATCCTTCGCTTACCTGTTTCTGAAACCATTCTTGGTAACGCTTTTGGTTCCCAAACTTGACCTGTGATGTAAGAAATGTGATCTTGCGTTCCATGTCTGGAGTTAGCCGGCACTGAAGAAACCTCCGTGATGTCCGCTGCATGAGCAGCTGCTGAACTCCTGCAGGCAAAGGAAATCAGGAAGCTAATTAATTCTCATTCTACGCACAAGTGTGCCATAGGCACATACTTCTAATGGTGCAGCATACACTGCTTCAATGCCCCAATACACCCAAACCTCGCTATAGTTAATTTTATTTTATTTATTTAGAAATACTGTGAACCCTCTATTGAGGGTCATCACAGGAAAGGCACGACACACTGTAAAAGCAAACTAGGCACATAACTATAAATCTCACAATGATAAACCAGGTGTACATATATACAAATCTGTGAAAGCTCTGCATTCCAAACAAAAAAACGAAAAATACACACCCTGAATCGCAATGCAACAGACAACAATTGCAATAATCATCACAATAAATCACAATATGTAAATCAAGTAAATGCACAAATTCATTAACATCACCCGCAGAGACTATGTTACTCGGCAACTCATTCCAATCATCGATGACATCGGGGAAGAAAGTATAACGGTACGTCTTCGTTCATACAAAATAAGGTTGCAGTACTCGTGTGTGGTATGTCCTCTCGCTTCGTTTCCCAGGTTGTTGTATGTAGTCATTTATGTTAATTTAAACTCACCTTCAATTAATTCAAAAAGAAAGTTTAATCTATTTTTACGTCTGCACTTGTGGAGAGTCTCCAGATCACAGAGCTGTAGCATTTCTGTGACTGTGTCCTTCTGCTTATATCTCGAGCATATAAAGCAAGACGCAAGCCATTGTATGCATTCCACATTTATTTATCAGCACTTTTTGATGGGGGCTCCAGACAATACTGGCATATTTCAGTATCGGCCGTATAAACGTTTTAAAACAAGAAGTTGTACGTCCGTACTTGCACCCTGCAGTTTTTTCCTTATTAAACATCTTTTGTGAAGCCCTGGAGCAAACATTATCAATATGTGTGAGCCACTTAAAGTTATGCATTATTGTGAGACTTAGGTACTTAAAAGCATTAAATGTTAACATGGTGTGATTCCCGATACAGTATTCAAATTGAATTATCGTTTTTTCCCTAGAAGTATGGGTAACAAATTCAAATAATTGATTTACGTTCCCGAAGCTTTACATTGTGAGTGTAATTCCTTTAGGCATTCGGCAATGTTCAAGTGGTCCTTCCTACCAGTCATTCGCACGTAAATTAAACAATCAACAGCAAACAATTTGAGCTTTACATGAGGTTTTGCTACATCTGCAATATCGTTGACATATATAAGAAACAATAAGAGCCTAAGAACCGAGCCTTTCCGGAACTCCAGCAAACACTTCTATTGAGCTAGACATAGAGTTCTCAATTTTCACGATTTGTTTTCTGTCATTTAGGTACACTTTAATCCAATTGAGTAAAAGTTGACTGAGTCCAGCACAGAGAAGCTTATACAGTAATCTGTCGTGAGGTATTTTATCGAAAGCCTTAGCGAAATCTATGCAGATGACATCAATTTGTTCATTCCCATCTAAAGCTGTCGCAAAGTCATGAATAGTTTTAATAAGCCGTGTTGTAGTCGAGACTTTACTCCTAAAACCATGCTGATAAGGATAAAAGTAATTTTTATTTTCCAGGAATGTTATGATATGCTTGACAATGATGTGTTCCAATATTTTGCAGCAGAGAGATGTGAGCAACACGGGACAGAAGTTTTTGGCGGACAACTGATCACCACTCTTAAACACAGGGACAACTACAGCTGTGCGCCAGTCAGATGGCACTGAACTAGTACAAATAGACTTTTCAAAAGTAACTTTCAAGTAGTAAGATACCCACTCCGCATAACGCTGCGAAAAAGGGTTAATTTTTTCATCAGGCCAATATGCTTTTTTTAGAATCAAGAGACAATAGACTCCTCAATACTCCTTCTCGCCTGATAGTAATATCACCCATCGGCTCGTATAAGTGGCATATTACATCCTCTGTGTCAGTGTAACATCTGCGTCTTGTGAAAACTGACTGAAAAAAAATGCTAAGCCTATCTGCGATATCAACATTCAGCGTCGCGACATCATTTCCACGTTTTAGCTGGTCAATTTTATCGTGCTTATCGGACATATCAAGCCAGAACTTGTGAGGTGAATGTTTAATGAAAGAACTAAACCTTTGACAAAAAAAAGCACGCTTAGATTCTAACAAGTCTTTCTTCAATTCTTTTCGTACACGTGCGATATCCTCGGAGCCACAATTTCTTCTCTGCAGCCTTTTTAACTTTTGCTTTTTATAAATAATATCTCATGTTATCCATGGATTGCACTTTTTAGTCTTCTTTACCCTTCTCAGAATGAACTTGTTGATACAATATTTAATAATAACTTTGAAACGGTGCCACAATTTCTCAACTGTTTTGCGCTCGGATATAATGGAATGAACGCCGATAGTCAAGCCTCCTTATAAGGAACTTGAGCGTGACACGGCACCCGTTCGCTGTATCCAGAAGTTCTTAGTAAATAAAACACAGCTTTTAAAAAAGTTGCGAGTGAAAACACAACCTTTTATTGCCCCAAAAAGTCCATGATGCACGTGTTTCAAAGAGCATAAGCGATAAGGGCGGTCTCGAGTTCATTTAAAACGGCAGGGTGCTCGTATGCCGAGGCCCGTGGCATAAGCTGCAGGAGGAACTGGCTCTAAAGTTTCGTCGTTCTCGCAATCCGATTCCTCCAAATCGCTCTCGCCACGTACTTCATTCACAATGCCCCAATCCGTGCACGGTTCTGCAGTGTCGGCATCATCATCGGCCGTAATTAAACCATCGCAACAGATGTCCCACCCGCTCTCCCAGGTCAGAGCCGACGATGTGCTGATACAAATCGCCGCCGCAGTTCGGAAGCTTCAGGCTCGGCATTGAGCCCGACGTAGACGAAGTCGGCCTCACCAAAACAGTTTTGCGCGCATGTAGCCGTCACCGCCACCCAAGAAATACTTACAATCTTCACAGCTGAATACCGGGACGCCCGAAGCGGCAAGTTGGCTGCCAGGTGGTTAACGGTTATGAGCAAGCGCTCCGCAACGCGGCATCTAACGCGCGGATTACGCCCAAGCCAAGCGGTCACACTTTCCATGTTTTGTTGAGCGGCAGGAAAATGCGCGCTAGTCCTCCCGTCGGCCATCATGACCACACACGCACACCAAGAGCAAGCAAGACGCACTAGCGCGACACACATGCCAGAATGCGTGGAACCGCTCTGGGCCCATTCGTAGTCAGAAAACGAAACTAATTCGAGCCAGCGTGGCAGGCGTCGCAGAGCAGTGGAGACAAGTGGAGGGGTTGTGATCAAGAGAGGAGAGCAGACTTGTGAGAGAAGGGCAAAGAGTTGCGATAATGAGAGGGAGGATGCGGCGGGAGGGCGAGCTTGAAAACCAAAACACACAGGAAAGAGGCAGGTTGGGTAGCTTGCTTGAAAGGTCCGTGAAACTCGCACGTAAAAAAACTTGGGAAGAGTGCCTGCGCGCGCAGAAGTCAAAGCATGACCACCTAGATCGGTGCCCGCGGTCTAAAAATCGTTTGTTGCGCCGGCGGGTTTGCGTGGCCTCACAAACTTCGATATTTCGCAATTCGTTTTGCACAAATTAACAGCCGTTTTCATGCTTCCGCAAATGCGCGGAAGGCATGCTGAGCCAAGTGCGATGTGAGCGAGAACAAGTCCTAAACACAAACCGAATCGCAAATTATCAGAGTAGGTGGGGTAGCGTACGCACGTGCACTAGATGTAGACTATCGGATACAGTCAGTAGCCGACAATGTTGGCAAATGGTCTGGTCACTCCAGGCCGGCGACGCCAACGACAGTACCAGCGATCAAAAACAGGGTAGATGGCCGACCGGTCTTCTAAAGAGAGGTGGCAGTATGAAAACACCGGCTTTGTCTGGTGATGTGCGGTTCTCAGAGTAGCGGGGGGACAAAGGATGGAGAGGTGCGTAACAAAAAGCAGTCGGGGCATGGAGGAAGGAAACAGTGTTCCTTCCTCCAAGGGTTGGGGAGAGCGGTAACTAGAGGGTCGTGGAGGCAGGGTCGGCATTTAACAATAAGAATGTATGGGCACCTCGCCGATGCCTGATCGGTGGTCTAAATTGGTTTCCCGGGAAGTCTGCAGACCGCTGACTCCGTTTGCTGTAACCGATCAGCGGCACTCAGAGATGTTCACACTAAGTGCAATTTTGTGCCATTGAACCAATGTATATTTTCACGGTTACGCGGATATTGTTCGTTTTAAGTCGGGCTGTTATATGTGGGCTCGATTGTATAATAGAATATCAGTAATAATGAAGTGAACGAAGAATAGTCTTGCAATAGATATAATGTTAAGAATATATATTTATAAAAAATTTTCAAATGTAACACTCCATTTTGTGTAAGATGCCACTTTGTAATAATGGGGTTTCAGCGTAGAGGCACAAATGTACACCCATGCTTTTCAGGCATGAACGGACATTTGACATATAACGCGAGGCATTTCTTTTAAAAGAGGCCAAATTAGACACATTACGAATCCCTGGTAAGTGAAACAGGCAGCAAGTTAAGAGTTCCTGAATACCAAAGCTCTTACTGAGCAACCGAGTTTTCAGAACAAAGACTTGTTAAATTAATAAAACACACGTGATCTCGTACATCTTCTTTCTCAATTCACTAACAGAACATTCAATGTTTCCATACCATTTCACTTTTTCAAAAGCAGCATGCTGCTTTCTAAAACGCAAGGCTTTTTAAAAACAAAGCATGGCAAAGAACAAGTACCTGTGAGTGTAGGCGAAAGAGAAGTGGGGTTGAAAAGCAGGTCCCGCCACAACTTGTCAAACTCGGGTATCCGAGCCACATTCTGGAGTAACCGGATCAGGTCCCGCCCGATGATAGCACACTCTGTAAACTGCACCAAGCAGACAATACATGCAACACCTAGTCAGCTCATCTCAAGGCAAAGGCGCTCCTACACAGTAAAGCACACCAAGACTTTGAAGAGACCACTGTAATGGTAAACAATTATAACACAGTGCTCGCATTGTCCTGCCAGTTAAACATCATTATTACATATCTGTTTCAAATGTACCAACAGTTCAAATGTAGTGGGCACTAATCCCTGAAGCAGTCTCTATAAAGCCTTATGTATTCACTAACCGCACTGGAGTGGCTTGGTGTCCGCTGTGCCTGCTGGATACACCAAAATAATGTCACAATCTGTATTCAGTTCAACAAATTGGATGTCAACTCTACTCAGGAGCAAATGAAAGTCTTCCTCGAGTACGGCCAGCTTGAATTCGTTTCTAGAGGTAGGTGGTGGTGGGCAGCTAGTCACAAAGTTGTGTGGTAGGCTGGAGCAGTGGTATTGCCACCCACAGTGGCGAGAACCCCAGCAGCAGATATTTGATGGATATAGTACACACATACCAAGGTGCTATGCAGTTGATGGACAGAAAAATCCTTTTTTTTTTCTTTCTGGTGAGTGTCTTATGGTTGATCAAAAGGTAACTTGGTGCCATGAAGAAACATGTCCCTCAATCACACAATTAAAAAAAAAAAGAAAACAAACCTTTATTGATAGTGAGAAAGAAATATAAAAAAAGTTTCTGCGGCTATACCCCACTAAGTGGTATTGGCTATAGACAGCATACTGCACAGCAGCATAACAAATAACCAACAATTTCTGCAATTTATCAAGCACTATTTGTTCGTCATCCTTGAGTAGCATCCAAAGTGCACGAGTAGTTGCCTGACGGAACAACTGCAAATTGATTGAATGCTTGTGCCCATGAGGGGTTTTAAAGCCAGCGATGCAAGCACACGAGAAAGAAGAGAGAGATACGCTTTTGCCTGCAGTTACGATGTGCCCAAGTAGGCTCACCTTGTCTCGCAGCATGGAAATGCAGAAGTCCACTTCTCGTTGCCGCAGAGTAAGAAACGGTAAGTTTCCGTGGTCCACAATGAGCCGCAGGTAAGTGTACACGGCCGTGGCTATCACAATGGGCTGAGAGGCTAGCCACACACTGCAACACAAGAATTGAGTGAAACACGCATTCATGCATATTCATCCATGGCAGACGCTAATAATACTGGCCATTGCTTGCTTGCATGATTGTGAAAGCACTTTTGTGCATCGCAGGTAGAAACGAGAAAAGCAAGAGGGTTGTAGAGCACAGCGGTAAAGACAGACTTGTTTCTGGCTTAAGTTTAGAGCTCACTCAGGGGTAAACAAAAAGCATTTAAAAATAAATCATTAACAGACATGAATCGCCTCTACTGCATATAAACGATAGTCAGTATCTAGAGAACTCGACTCGGAAACTTGCATTGACATTGCAATAAGACATCTATGCTGAAGAATGTCCAAATTTAAAATAATATATATAATACATAATCAAGAAATAAAGATGCAGGCACTTAGCGGGAAAAAACTATTTTACTAATGCTGTGACCATTAAAACAGGCGGTCTCACCCGTTTTCGATGAAGATGTCGAGCATGGCTTCTGCAAGCCATATGTTTTTTGGCGTCACATCGCCTCCTACAAATAAAAAAGATTAACAATTAATAGGAACGAACACGTACAGTACCAACAGAAGTTAAAAAAAATGCCTTTTTGAAAGATGCATTAGCTCTAGTAAAATGGTGTTGACACAAACATTTGACACAAAGAAGCTGTTTCTAAACAGTGTACGCCTTTGTCAATTGCGAAAGGCTAAGTAACCTCATTTTTTGGTTGCATCAGCACATTTTTTGCTCATCTCAAAAAAGTTATAAAATTTGCCCTGCATAATAAACACACCCCCACTTTGCTCCGATTTTTCGAGAACAAAAAGCGGGTTCATTACACGAGTACATATGGTATTCCTGCAGTCTCAAAAGGGTACTAAAACAAAAGAATTTTCGTCTCATGTTTTTTTGTTGCAATGTGTTGCTGGGGGCCTGTTAGTCACAACACTTCCCATTACTTGCTGCACCATGCAACAGATAAATAACTACGGGATCTTCATTACCGACCAGTCTCGATTCGAGAGAGCTCTAAAAACGACAAGCCACCAAGCGCAATTATGACCACATAGTGTGTGCAACGCTCAACCACGTCAGCATACACAACCGCCACGCACTTTCACATGGTTACCGCCAAGAAAAACTTTCGAAAAGGAAACAGGAAAGCAGTGTCGTCATATACAAAATTACCAACATGCGTGCCATCACCATGCACTCAGGAGCAATATAGGTACTGCTGGCGCAAACGCAGCAAGAGAGTAATGGAGACCATGACATTATAACTTGTGTTGGCTGCAGCGTGGTGATGTGAGGGTAGCAGAAGGGTCACTGTCAAGTGCTTTACGAGGGTGTCAATTGGGCAAGCTCAGTGGTTATGATATCGTATAAACTGGAATTTAAGTCGAGATGTTTTCAATAAAACAATGAGCTAAAGTCGCCCCTCGTCTTATATAGCGGTGTCTAACCGACAGTGCACTGCTGTCTGGCAACATGTGGCTTGTATGTGCATGAGAAGCTGGACACGGCCATATTCGCATTCAAATCCAATAGTAGGTTGTTGTTTCTTTCTTTCTTGTCTGTTTTTTGTGTTCGCGATTTGCCTCCAATCTGTTCTAAGTGTTTCATTTTATTGTGTTTCATTTTTAGTGGTATTTTTTCGTTCACTGAATATGAGTAGCGAAACGAGAAGGCAGTACTCAGCTGCGTTTAAACTAGAGGTTGCAGAGTTCGCAGAAGTGAATGGGAATATGGCGGCTCAGCGCCGCTTTGGTGTATCAGAAAAAAGCTATTGGAGGGCGCAGAAAGAGAAGCTGCAGATGTGCAATCTTCGGAAAATGTCATTTCGTGGGCGAAGTGCAGTTCATCCGCAGCTGGAGAATACGTTAGGGAACTTTGTGGGAAGTTCATGCGTGCTCGCTGCCAGTGACTGTGGATACCATTCGCAAGAAAGTTGCGAAACTCGCTCGAGAAGCTGGGCTCACGAGAGAAGAGTTTCCTCCACCAGACTCTTGGGTGCGTCGATTCATGAAGCGCAAAGGATTTTTTTTCTGGTGGCGCACATTCATCTGTCAGAAGTTTCCAGACGAGTTCGAGGACAAGCTTATAAACTTTCAGGGCTTCGTGAACTGGCTTCGGGAGCAGAACAACTACATGATGGGGCAGATTGACAATGCCGATGAGACCCCCGTGTGGTTTGAAATGCCTTCATTGACCTTGATCATGCAGCGTGGCGCCAAGGATATGAAGCTGTTGTCCACTGGCAACAAGCACTCGCGCTTCACTGTCATGCTGACATGCATGGCAGATAATAGAAAACTTCTGCCCTTCATCATTTTCAAACGTAAGACAATGCCGAAGGAAGTGTTCCCGCCCGGTGTTGTCGTTCGCCTCAACAAAAAGGGATACATGGACAAGGCCATGACGCTCAAATGGATACAAGTAGTCTGGAACTGTCAACCAGGTGCCCTGCTGCGTCTTTGCAGCATGCTGGTGTTAGATGCGTTTTCTGGTCCCTTAACTGACGCTGTGAAGCGCGCACTGGGCGATGGAAAACGAACCTTGAAGTGTGACCAGGTGGTATGACGTCCACCCTCCAACTGATCGACGTTGTGCTAAACAAGCAATTCAAGGACGGAGTGAGGCTTCAGTACCAAAAGTGGATGTCTGGCGACAATCCAAAGACACCGACGGGCCGCCTACAGAGGCCTCCGCTTGCGACTGGGTGCTTTCCACCTGGCGTTCCTTGCCAAATTCCATTGGTGGATAATGCTTTTAAGAAATGTTCTATCAGCAAGTCGCTGTATGGCACAGAAGACAACGCACTGTGGGAGGCGGCCAGCGACAAACTCTTGTCTTCAGAAGACAGTGGTGGTTCGTCTGACGAATAGGAACAGTTGCGATGGTGGTTGAGGGGAGCTTCGACGATCGGGGTGCGGTGCGCCCAATTCGCAAATAAATGTCGTTCGACAATTTTGGAATTGTTTTCCTTTTCTTCTTTTTCGGTAATCTGAACTTAGGGGGTCGACCTATATTCCCACTCGACCTATAGTCCAACCTATAGGCGGTACTAACCCGAAGGTCACGAATTAGATATCAGCTGGATTTAGGTGAAAGTGAAATGGCAGAGGCCCATGCACTGAAAGATATCAGTGCACATTAAGGGGGCCCTGAAACCCTTTTTCAAGTAACGATGGAATAGATTCACTGGAAAAGCTTATTGCCTACGAATTCAACGCCACAAAAATTTTAAGAATCCGTCCAGTGTAAGTGGAGTTACAAAGAATTGTCACACGCTGCAATCGCGGTCTCTCTTCTCTCCTCCCGACAAAAGCGCTGAAAGCTAAGCAGGGAGGGATGGCAGGGGCAAAAAAATTAAAAAATACGGCACCCACGCCTCGTGAAATTGAGCACTTTCTTCTCTTTTTTTTTTTCTTCAAATGCACGGTTTTTTCAGTGTGATCATGTGCGTACGCGTGGACAAGTGACGGCCTCTCGCGGCAATCTCTGTAACAACCGAGCGCGTCATGTTCAAATCAGCCAATGGCTGATAGATGGGCTATCTACGAGTGATTTTTGAGCGTCTTTAGTCATTCGTCAAGGAAAGAGAAAGCAATTTTTAGCTGACTGATAATTTATTGTGAAATCCAGGCCGCGTGCTCCGCTATAACATTTGGCTCGCGTGTTCTTGGGAGCCTCTACTATCGATCGGCAGCATTTTCTGACCGTGCTCAAAAAGTGTTGCAGGGCCCCTCTAAAGAACACCAGATGGTCGGAATTTCTAGAGCACTAGCCTACGGTGCACCTCATAATCATATCGTAGATCTGGCACAAAACACCACCTTTATTATTATTATTATTGACTTTTTTGTAAGTCACTGACCGAGAATGTGGCTTCTCTCAATCAGTGCTGCAAGAAGCTTTCTAAGCTGCGATGTGGCATACATGCACAATGATGCAGGTTAAGAATAACTGGATGACGTGCTTTGTGTGTTAAGGCATGAGAGAGCATACCTGCAATCTGCCTGAGAAGACCGTGACAAAGATTGTCGACTCCAGGCACCGAGTTCTTGATGAGCTCCTTTATTAGCCATATTATCTGATTAAAAAGAAAGAAAAAAGAGGTCTTGTTAAACACAATACACACCATGCAGAACAAACCTATAGGTAAACATAAGTACAGGTCGAGAAATAAAAGTGCACCTGCCAAGTCACATGTTCCTCGAAAGGATGTAACTCGGCAGGTGCACAAAGTAAACTGGTGGATATCAAGTCATACTGTAGCGAAACTGCGGGTGACAGATGTACAGTCGGATATTCATTAACTTTTAATGCGTAATGATTCAAGCACAAGCCCCACCAAAATGAGAGAATTCTGCTACTTGATTGGTAACACAAAAATTTCGATTTCACCAATGCAAAATAATTAATATGCACACAGACACACACACACGTGTGTGTGCACAAATTGGCCGTATTTCTAACACAGCCTTGGCTGCGTTTTGTTATATTGATGCTGTTTGAGTTGTTGAATATACCAAGGTGATTAAGCCTAAGCCATAACATTTACACCAAATATCCTAATTTTCCACCTTACCACATACCAAAAAATAATAAGTACCAGACAAACTTGGCTGTTTCTTTGAAATGGAAAAATCAATTTTTAAGTTGTACGACCTACTTAACATATGATGAAGACCTTGAAGAAACTTAGTGGCACAAAATCAATTTGAAGACATGAAGTACAAAACATGACGAAAAGAAAATACAGTAAAAGAAGCACTCGAATGTTATTCGAATGTCGAGATATGCCACTGGTCAAGTTCTGCTCAAAGTGCCGTTAAAGTCCAGCAAGATTAAAAAAGATCTCTGGAAAAGAAAAAGGGCAACACGACTCGGTATGTGAGTAGTCACCATACCGGGTCACCAACTCTTCCCCATACACAGTTTTCAGTTTAAAATCCAATTATCGACAAAAGTACAAAGTACGTTCAACTCAGATGCCATAAACACTAACCTGAGATCGGCAGGAGTCTAGAAGCTTGGTATACTTTTCCAGAATGAGAAGGCTTATGGTGTTGACGAAATTCTGCAGGCCATCGCGTGTGGTGAATGTCACGTCGCGGTAGTACTGTGTGAAACAGCATGGGGTCAGAGCACACAAACTTCTTTCTGTATAACTCAACAAAGTAAAAAAATGTTTAAAATGATAGATCGTATTTACAAAGAAGACCGGACTCAGCTCCTCTGTTATAGAATGGAACAGTAATAATGTGCAGCTCCTTGTGATCATCATTCTTTAGTGGGATTAGAGCACAGTATGCGACGCCCCGCTGGTTGATGTGTCAGTAGCATGAATCTTACGTCGTGCAAACCGGACGATTAGTGGCACAGCAGACCTCGGGACACTGTGATCCAGAACATGCAACTGAAGAGCTCTTGCAGAGCTTGAACAATCTACAGAACTGCGCGCATATTCAGCCCGTGCCACCAAATAACAGTAGAAAAGCATCTGTAAAGCCTTGAAGTTTAGTGGCGTTCACGCAGTGTTACAGCGACATGCTTAATGGCATCAAAGCTCAAATAGGTTTGAGGCACAGTGCGTAACATTGTTTAGCTGTAACATGTACGTTACGCATTTCTGAAGTAACTTAATTGAACATGAAACATGCCATGAACCAAAAAAAAGGTTCAGTTATTCGAACACGCTAATGTTCCTCTATTAATACAGCATGTGGAACATCTAGAAAAAAAAAAAACGCTGAGTTATAACCTAAACGTTTATGAAAGCATGGTTGGTAGGCCGTGCAAATTTTTGAAAACATCAATTTTTCCAAGTCAGCAGAATCCATCAATGCAAGAAAGAAAGTGTCACTGTTCGAGCATACATAAAGTATGGCATGTCTTCACAGCTACAAACACTAAAATTATGTGCGTTATAACAGTTGCACATGATGAAATCCAGGATGCGCATACAACTGACATAGTTTCATTGGCTATTTGTTGGTGCAGTACGAAAGTGACGCTGCAGTGCAACTCCGAATCTTCTGGATAACCGGAGTGTTTTGTCAATGCAATAGTCAGAGGAGTCAGCAAGAGCACATGGTATAACGAAAGCCACACTCGAAAAAAAAAAAGTTTTAATGTGTACAGCTGTGAAGCCAGCCAAACCTATTCGTAAGTTGTACTGAAGTAGATGCACGTGGAAACAAGTAATCTGCGGCTCTTTTGAGAACGACGATACACTTACTCTCGCTGCGCTGGTGGGGTCGATAAGGATGCCGTAAAGAAATCCGGAACAGATGTCATCGTGCGCCTGTGCTCCTTTGCACACCTTTAACGGAGAACGGAATACATTTCAGCAAGACATCCTCGATCACGCGGGCCAGAATTCACCGCGGAAAACGAATGGCAAGACGGTTTTCTTACTGCTGCATTCAAAGCGTCGTGCGCCTCCTTCTCAGAAACGCCGCTGATGAGAGACTGTAAATACGTGTAACTCCTCTCGAGTTTCTGCAAAGAAGGATAATAAGGCGTTTTAGAGTGGTCTACCAATCGGCATTAAAAACCCTCAGTTGCTACCGAGCGCCGAGAGTTGCGGACGAACATTTCTAACGGATACTTCGCTGGCATCCCTCCTCAAGCATTATTCAGAATAGCGTCACAGGGATTCATTCGCGATGAGCACTGGATGTTGTGACCTTTGTCCAGGGGTTATTACCTTTATTCGAGCCCAACTTTATCGGTGTACAAGCCACGGATAGGCGCAGAAAGCGAAACGAGGAAGCACGGCGTGACTAGCACGCGCAGCAAGGCAAAAGTGCCGGTACCGCTTCGGTCACGAATAAAACGGCCGTAACTCGAGCGCGATGGTTTTTCACACGTGTGTTACGGGAGCAACGACGATCTACTTGAATCCACATTCGCACACACCCAATAAAAAAGTGTCACCGCGGCAACACACGCGAAAATTTTGTAACGAACACACACTCCCGAGCACATTGCGCGCAAGTGAAAGTTTGAGACTCGGGCAAACGTGTTGGTACGGTAAGGCCGGCGATCATGCAAGTTCGCTCGGCACAAAGCCCGCTTCCAAAAAAATCGTGCAACTAGCGCCAGAAACGATCACGATAAAGTTTTAGTTAAACTAAATCGTTCACTAGTGTGCAACGTAAAAAAAGTGAAACCCAAATACGACAGTGGCGACACCGTGCGAATAGAACCGAAAATTCGCGCCTTTGTGCACGTATGCAGGGGAAGTGGGAGACATGCTTTTTAAATTGCGCCTATTCCAGCCCCGTTACCTCGTCTATTTCTTCTTTAGCTTCTATCGGAGAAAGAGCGAATATCCTCGATGGCGTCCCTTTATTTGAATCCATCCTATACGCGAAATCCTTGGACTGGAGTCATCCAGCCGACCGCACAACCCTACCCTCTATAAGGGCAGCGCCATATTCGCGGAGTAACACTTTTAGACCGATGAGAGCAGCGCACGAACTACTTTCTAGGCTGGTGTTTTTATTTGCAGAAGAAATCGCCAGTGAATCTATGGTTTCATCCGCTCCGGCAAATAGGAACATGTTTGCCAGTATCTTTCTGGGCCATATGTGCCTCATGTCGTGATAGTACTTACGTTTTACGCAAAATGTGCGAGTGGAAACGTTATCGATTATTAACTTTATACTTGTAATTCTTGTTAACCATACAGCGCACATCAAATTTAACAAACAAATGCACAAATTTGAACAAAAGAGGCAATACATTTCATAATGTATTATTTATATTCTGAGGCAAAATTAATATTTTAAAAGTACGATTGAAATCAAATTATATAACCGTTGTTTTGAATGGTGGCGATGGCGATGTTGCAACCACGAGGTGGTTTCAGTCAAAAACATGGATACGACGCGCAGCAGCGAGGAGCTGTCTGTAGTTTGAAAATTCGCTGTGCATTAAAACTGCAACGGTACCTGCCAGCGATTGACACAGGTAAGCCGCCGATAACCTGGTGCGTAGCCTATGTCTAACTATTGCTGTATTTCGGTGGCCTCGGCTACATAATGCCGGCGCGACGCTGCCTGCAGATCCCACGCATGTGAGCCCCGCTCATTGCTTTCTAGATAATGTTTAGGACGACGTAAATGGAGACGTCGATTATTGCTTCGGTGTCTACAGAAACTACACTGAAAAGGCGTCGAATTTGAACGGTGTATAGACCGTTGCTCGCATTTTAGAGCTATCGCGCGATTCCGCGCTCCAAATGTCATGTAGTCGGAATCGTGTCACCATTTTCTGTCGGATTATTCACTTGCCTGCACCACAATTAAGGCGTATATTTACGCTGGTGGCGATCGGCGTATGTTCCGGTTATCATAGAGCTGTGGGCACGTCGCGTACACCCAGGCGTCGTCAAGTGCAAGACTGCAGTCCAGGTAAACACGTTTGCCTGCTCGCTGTTTGAAATCGCGGTTTGCGCTGATGATGATGCTCGCTTACTGGATTGGATAGCGTTGGATTTCAAGGTAATGAATAGGTGGCACTGGCGTTCCAGCCGCGCCTTGGGTCACGCGCGTCTTCGAGCCGTTTCTGTGACCCTGTGGCGGTTCCCGCGAAGTGCATCCTTACGACCACGGGCTTGGCGGGTTTCGGGCCGTATCACGGATCCCGATGTCCTCTAATTCCGAGTGGCTTTTGCAGTCACTCGGGAAAAGGACGCGTGTGTCGGTAACACGCAACCACCGACGAGTAGGCTTAGATGTTGCCCCGGTGTAGCACTGCACGCCTCCGGCGACGTTGACAACAGGATGCAGATATCGACAGACTCCTTCCCATTCAAGCTGGGTGCCCGGCGCAATGTGCTCCAGGTGAGCGACGCCTCCCCGGAACAAGAAGCCATGGGCTCCGAGACTAGGCTGAAGCGCGTCGGCAGTTCGTTCGTGTCGTACGTAGACCTCGGTGTCGGCGAGCGGTCGTCTGCACGCCCACCCGACGCAGCGCCTCCTCCGCCGGATCTCATTCCGTTGGTGACGCTGAAGCCCGCGTTGTGCGACGGTGAGGTGGTGGTGACGGAGGTGGACAACGTGCTCAAGTTTAACACGTTCAGTGACCTGCGTAACGGCGTGTCTGGCGTGCTCTTCTGCACCAACTTCAAGCTTAGCTTCGTCACGATGGACGCGAGCGGCGAGCACAAGCCACGAGCGCTGTGCGCGAACCGCGTGTTGGGCGAGAACGACATCGGTCTCCTGAACGTGGAAGCCCTGTTCCTACTCTCCGGGGGCCGTCGCAAGCGGCTGTCGCCCCAGGCGGCCGCTGCGCAGTCCGTTGAGGTGCTGCAGGTCCACTGCAAGGACATGCGCATTTTCACCTTCTCCTTCAAGTTCTGCCAGAGCGACCAGTGCAGCGCCAAGGTGCTGCAGTATCTCTCGCGTCACGCGTTCGTCTCCAGCCTGGACAAGCTGTTCTGCCCGCGCGGTGGCTCGATCGGCCAGCGCGAACCGCCTTTCGAGAGCGCTCGCCAGTGGGACGCCGAGCTGCGGCGCTGCGCCGCCTCCAAGTTGTGGAGGGTGACCGAGCTCAACGAGCGGTACCGCTTCTCGGCCGCGCTCCCCGGCCGCTTCGCCGTCCCACGTCGTCTCGTCGACTGTAAGCTAGAACGCCTGGCGCAGCACTTCAGCGACAAGCGCGCCGTTGCCTGGTGCTGGAGTCACCCGAGCGGCGCGGCACTGGTGCGAGGTGCCGCCTCCGACACGGGCTCCGAGTCGGCGGACGCCGAGCGGCTTCAACTGCTCGCCCAGTGCCTGGGCGCCGATGTCCACTTGGTGAACTTGGATCTGGAGTGCCCAATCGTGCGCGAAGTTGGTTCCAGCTACCACAAGCTTCAGGCCCTCTGCATGCCGGCCGACGAAGCGGAGTTTCTCGAGCAAGAGGCCCGTTTCTACGCGGCGCTCGAGTCGACCCGTTGGTTGGAGTGTTTGTCGGGTTGCCTTAAGGTGGCACTGGCGGCCGCCAAGGTGATAGCAGAACGCCGGAAACACGTGCTGGTGCGCGAACAGAGTGGTGCCGACATGACTTGCGTGGTCGTCAGCCTGGTGCAGATTCTCCTCGACCCCCACTATAGAACGCAAGCAGGCTTTCAAACCTTGGTTGACAAAGAGTGGGTAGCCGCGGGTCATCCCTTTCCGGAACGCCTGGACCATCTCGGTCAAGGACGCGCATCGCCAGAGGCGGCACCGGTCTTTCTGTTCTTTCTCGATTGTGTCTGGCAGCTTCAGTCTCAGTTTCCTGCATCGTTTGAGTTCTCCGAGACGTACCTAACTAACCTTTGGGACTGCACGCATGTGGGCATCTACGACACATTTCTCTTTGGGAACAACCGGCAGCGATGGGAGGCTCTGAAGTCGCAACCTTTCCGCAATGTCTGGGATTGGTCTGGCCCGCACTCGCGCCTTTCCCCGCAAGACCTGGAACTCTTCAAGAATCCATTGTACCTGCTTCAACGATCCAAGGAGTTGCTCAATGTGAGATCGCAAGAGGGTGCTGGCGACCGTGGTATGCAATCATTTAGTGCAGACCTGCTTCTCCTGGACCCCACAGTGAAGTCTCTTTCAGTGTGGACACAGTGTTACTACCGCTGGATTCCAAAAGCGGAGGTGGTTAATGGTGATCCGGCGACTCTGTTCCTCCACAATGTTCGTGTGGCCAGGGATATAAACTTTTTGGCAACTCAGATACGACTACTGAAAGAACAACGCGATGGTGGAGATAGCGTACAGCTGCGGCACAGACGCCTGCCTTCGGACGAGTACTTCTTTGCCATCCAGCGTAGCTCTGCACGTCCCGGTGCAGCAATAGACAATCATCATCTGGTGACTTCTTCATTTCCATTTGCTCCTCCGGGTCCTGTAGATTGGGGAAGCTGCCATGTGCCTTCGGTAGCACCTCTTCCAGACGATGACTATGGGGACTTGGATGACTAAAGTAGCGATCATAGGTTTTGTTGGAAAGGCCCTATTTTAAGTTAATGGGCGTGTGCTATGTTTGGTTTGGTTTATCGCATTGCATAGCACACACATAGCTGCTATCAGGGCACCCGCCAAGCCAGCTCAGGGCATTTCAGGATTGCCTCTTTGGCTGCTGACCAATACTTAAATTGGAAACGTTCACACCATGAGATGCCAGCTGTTGGCTATTATAGGTTCTCGCAGAGCTGTGAAAAGTATTGACGCTTCTTTTTTGCGGAAGCTTTCACTTGCAGTCAATTTTAATAGCAGCTAACCGAACATTTCAGCAGCCAACTGTTAATACCTTGTTTGCGTGATGTTACATAATTCTTGTGCCGGGCAGGGATTTTGTTCTGTTAATTGTTTCCGCTGGAGGCCGCGGTGCTGTATTGTTTGTGGAAGTTCTTTCATTTTCTGCAATGTTTTTAGTAGCTCCAGACTCCTTCAACTTGTTCGAAGCGGAGAGCATGTTGTTCAGTTCAGAATGAACACACCGATAACTTATTGTACAAATTGTTTAAGCTCCTGTTTGTTTATTAGTGATCATATGTTGTGGCTGTTAATATGTATAGAGAATGTATTTTTTGTTTGAACCTGTTCCTAAGGCTGTGCTGATTTTATTTTCCAGAAAGCTGAGGCTGCAGTTATTTTTTTTTGCCTTGAAGATCCTGTCATTTTGTTCGTCACTAACATTGCCAGTATTGAAAGTACTGTTGCGCATTCCTCCAGTACTGCGTTAAAATTTAATTTACCCGGTAGATGTTCTGTGAGACATGCTATTAAATTAAGTGAATATGTCCTCTCAGTGCTTCAAGCAGCCATGACGTGCTGGTTTTAAGTGCTTTTATTCTCTACGAGCAGCATATCTTGGTGCTCTTGCTTCTCAGACCCCTGGGGCCAATATAAATTCAATGATAGCATGTACATTTTGGATGCACTTTCTTAAAAGAACATAAGTGGCATTGTTCCTAGCCTAGAACAAGGTAGATTGTTTTTAAGGGTAGGTTAGACTATTTACCAATGGTAAAAAAAAGAAAGCAAGTAATGCCATTTTCCATGGTGAAAGTGAAAACTAATCTTCATTATGTAAGTTATTTGGTCATATCTACGTTAAACAAGTCGACTGTGCTGTCAACTTTGTCTAATGAAGGCTACTGATTCAACGAAAATGATGCTGATGTTTTAATAGAGTGTGAAACACTTTGGCACAAGTTTTGCATTTCATACCTTGTGTAGCGAGTGCTGATTTTGTGGAAGTGGTGCAACGCTGTGCCTGCCGAGCAGTGTAGGACTATGTGTATTAAGGTGAACATGTATAATTCGTTGGTGTATTGAGTTTGATGAAATGCTTAGCAAAGCTCAGTTAGTGGCCTATTACTCTGGCGTGGATTTGGAGTCCTGCTGTAAGTTAACTAGAGCTGTTGGATGAAAGCCTGGGCATTCTCGGTGATACCTTCTTGGCATTTACAGGTGGCATTTGGCAGGCCAGATAAAAGTAATATGGTAACTCGGTGCAAACTTGCTTCAATAATGTGAACTCTGAGGGAGAGTTGTAGCTGGCTGACCACATATTCTTTGCTTATTCAGCTGTAAGCTACCAAGATTGGTTGTGCGTAGGCATTCTCGGGCTCTTTGTGACAACATATGACTGCAGCTGCAGTTTGTCGTGTAACTCTAGAACTTTGTTGAGGCTTTACAATCTTGCCTTCACAGGCAGGTCAAAAACTGGCCATATGCATCGTGCCGGTGTAACGCTTGCGGTTTCGTATTTGGCGACTTAATCTTGCAGCTTTACAGCTTTTTGGTACCAATTGGCACCCACTATGTTGTCTAACATGTTTGTATAGATTTTGACAAATATGGCCTCTGCACTTGAAAAGTATGCTTTTGTGATAATAGCTTAGATGTTGTGTAAATCAGTATGTGCGCTGTTAGAACATCGGAGGGATAACTATTTTAAAAGATAGACCTATTGAATGTGGCTGATCCCATTTAGGTGTCATAATGGTTGTTGGGAAGTATTGAAACTGTTTGGGAAAATTAAAAGCTGTAGGGGGCTGCAGCTTTACTTATTAAACCACTTGTTATGTATGCAAAAGAATAAAAATAAAGTATTGAATACATGTAAATAAGCACTGCCCAAAGGGAGCCCTACATTCTGTCTTATTGGGTGCATTTATTCATTGATGTCCGTACCTGTAAAGATAGGTGTGGGGCACCAATTCTTCGTGCTGTTTAAAAACATGTCTGCAGTACTTGGTGGCACAGACATTTTGGTAAGAGTCCTTTACAGCCTGTAGTGTACCCGATTTCGGAATGGATTAAAGATATTATAAAATACACACTCTTGCATCGTGTTGATTTGCTGCTGCATATTTTAAAAATGAAGTTTTCCAGTACTGATGCATTATTATCTCAAGGCATATTTCCTTGCCATTGTCCCTGCTACTTCTGTTCAATCTTGTGAGCATTGAAAATTGGTAATATACGGATGCACTGTTTCATAGAGCTTTTTTTTCATAAGGCAAATACTCAAACTCTCTTTTTTTAACTATAGTGAAATCTGCAAATAGAAAATTTTGTAGCTTCTTTATATTGCTTTTGTAAGATGGTGCCAACTTTATAATGCGAAATCTTAATTGTGTGATTGCACAAAACAGACTTGCAATTTTAAGCGAGCTATTCAAAACTCGTGCAGAGCTCTGTATGGCTTCTAAAAAAGGAGTCTATACCTTGAAAGTGATACTTGGGTGATCATATTGCTGTGCTACAAACATGATAGTGAGTCTAGTTTATAGGCTAACTGATACGATGAAATTAATGCAGTATGTTTTGCTAGTGTTCTCACTTCCAAAGCCATAGTGCACTCGGTGTACATTTTGAAGTGGTCTATTTGAGAGTATAGTATGATTTAAGTGCACTTGAATAACTGGGGATTTGTAGCATAATTAGAGTTGGCAAATACCGAATAAAGAAACAGATGAAGACTATTTCTTTATTGGTAGTACTTTAACATATTGCACCGACACACTAAGAATTATGCTGGAAATTGAACCTTGCGTCCCCAAATTCTGAGGAACATGCCAACGTGTGATTGGATAGGCTACTGCAATTTTCAGAGCGTGTTTCAGGTTGCATAAACCATAGTCATGGGGGAAAAGGATAAAATTTACAATTACAATTCACAAGCCTGAGAAGCTGGGCTATTTTGTTAATGTTTAGATGTGAGAAAAGCCAGCAAAACGAGGAAAAAAAAAAAATAAGGCTCATTCAAGTACACACACATCATCTGTTTGATTCAGTAGAAATATCGGCAGTCGTGCTGACACTACGGAATCAGATAGTCGAAGCATATATAAACATCCTGGAAGAAATCTTCAGGGGATCAGTTGCTACCATAGTGCTCCATAAAGAAAGCAACAGAATACCAATCAGGAAAGGTGTAAGGCAGGGGGATACAATCTCCCCAATGCTATTTACCGTGTGTTTACAGGAGGTTTTCAGAGTCCTAGAATGGGAACAGTTAGGCATAAGAGTTCATGGAGAGTACCCTAGTAACTTGCGCTTCGCCGATGACATTGCATTGCTGAGTAACTCAGGGGACGAATTGCAACTCATGATTACGGAGTTAGACAAGGAGAACAGAAAGGTGGGTCTTAAAATTAATCTGCAGAAAACGAAAGTAATGTACAACAATCTCGGAAGAGAGCAGCGCTTCGAGATAGGTAATAGTCCACTTCAAGTTGTAAAGGACTATGTCTACTTAGGACAGGTAGTAAACGCGGAACCTAACCACGGGATTGAAGTAACTAGAATAAGAATGGGGTGGAGCACATTTGGCAAGCACTCTCAAATTATGACAGGTAGATTGCCACTATCTCTCAAGAGGAAGGTATGTAACAGCTGTATCTTGCTGGTACTTGGCTACGGAGTGGAAACCTTGAGACTTACAAAGAGGGTTTAGCTTAAATTGAGGACGACGCAGCGAGCAATGGAAAGAAAAATGGTAGGTGTAACCTTAAGAGACAAGAAGAGAGCATAGTGGATTAGGGAACAAATGGTGGTTAAAGATATCATAGTTGAAATAAAGAAGAGAAAATGGACATGGGCCGGGCATGTAGTGCATAGACAGGATAACTGCTGGTCATTAAGGGTAACTAACTGGATTCCCAGAGAAGGCAAGCGGGTTAGGGGGAGACAGAAGCGGGTTAGGGTGGGCAGATGAGGTTAAGAAGTTAGCGGGTATGAATTGGCAGCGGCAGGCACAGGACTGAGTTAACTGGCAGAACATGGGAGAGCCCTTTGTCCTGCAGTGGATGTAGTCAGGCTGATGATGCTGACATCATCTGTGCCTACTATTTTCGTCCTTGTGTTGACTTTTGCTAGTTTTTCTCACATATAAACAAGTACAATTATTATATCAGCAATGCCCATGACAAAGATGAATCGTTGAATGATGCTGAAGAAGATTAATAAAAAAAAAGCTGTGTATACTGCAAGACATCAGCAAACAAAGTGGCATTGCCAGCCTACAGTATTGACTCAACCGCTGCAACATTTGCACACTGAGTGAGACATTGTATGTATCATTTTGGGCATTGGTGACATATTCTGAGAAGAACTGGGTGCACATAACTGTGCAACCTTATGTTTGCGGAGCAGGGTAGAAGTACCCAAGTTGTCAGAGACTTCCATACACAATATTATTGTCAATGTTCTGTATAAAACATAAATGTGCTAGCACTTTCACAACATGTCCTAAGCCTCACATATCGCTGGGTGGTGCCAGCATTTCACCATGGAGTAATGATCTGTGTGATTCAGAGCACAGCAGATAAGTGAAGTGATAATGTGTGGCATTTTGTGCACGCACTTCCTTATTTGCCGGAACACCAATGAAGGGCTGCAGTATTCAATACCACTTAGTGACGGATCCAATTTTCGGGGGCTTGGTTCCAGTATGTGTTAATGATATGGTAGTGTGATATGCAGATATGGCAGTTTAGTTGTAAGGCATGCATCTTTTGCATGCTGTTTATCTTATAAACAAGTTGTTAATTTTGAATTTCAGACCACATGAAACAGAAAAGCTTGATTTAATGTACTTGAAAGGGGAAAGTGCTCCTTTTTGTCTTGAAGCTGTTACTAATCCATGGTCAAATGGTTCAGCATCTGCCACTTGTCACGGGTGGAGAATTGCTTCAGACAGGCACTTACCAGCAAAACATGTACTGTACAAAACCACTTCTGGCTAGCATGCTTGCAGTCCAGTACTCACGAATCACTTGTGAGGAGAATTGAAAGGTTGGCAAGTTTGAACTGGTCCATTCTTGGGCAGTATACAAACAGGCAATACATGTGAATGTTTACTGTATGTGGTGTTTTCCTTCACATAAATCTTCCAGATGTCTATTTTCCAGACTTGTCTTTTTTTCAGACTTGTCTATTTTTCTTTTACATGTATTATCCATATCTGCCCCGTGTGAAATTGGTGGCATAGAACTGATATATCTTAAAACATACCTTCACTCTCTCTTTGAATGTAATTGTAGGGAAACATTCGAGCATCCACCTTCGATGTAAGAAGTATCAGTTTCTAAGCTGAGTTTTGCTGGAAACCAACTTCTATCTTTGAATAGGTGCCGATGTCCTTTGCCTTGTGCCCTGTACTAACAAGGGGCTCCTATCTTGACAGGGCACCCTTAAAAATAATACCTCCAAATTCTACTTCCAAAGTTCAGGTGTCTGATCCACCTTGTAACGTCGATCCACCTCATAACACTTGCCTAAACGCCACGTCCCTCCACCTCGCCGAAAAAAAAAAAAAAGAAAATGCAGAATATGCTTTAGCATTATGCTTAAGTTGCAGACTAATACAAAAAAATTTCAGTCAATTACTGCTGGTGCTGGTAGTGTGCAAGTTAGCAATGGTGTCACTGTACAGCTATGAACAACTAGTTCTCACATTTTCATGCTTTCTAGGTAGATGAATGCACATAAAATTTCTAGATATATATTTACTGAGTACTACAACCGTCTGCCTCTTAGTGTTATGCTCATTTTAAAAGTGCCACATTGGAAACTTTTTGGTGCATGCTTCGCATGTGGTTGATTTCTATGCTATATGGGATCTGCTGAATTTTCTTTTTCCTTTTTATTTTATTTATTATCATTATTTTTGTGCTGCGCTGCTTTTGTTCTCGAGTTTTGTAGGTCAAGTAATAGACTCGGACAATGGCGCTGCATGATAAACTCAGATTGCACGTATGCATACTCTGCGGTCTTTCTGTTTTTCTTTACCTTTGTTTCCTTGTTCCTTTCCTTCATGCAGAAATTTCAAGCAGAGCTACTTCTGGTTAATCTCTCTGCCTTTCTAAACATTGTTCTTTCTGTCCTGATGCCTCTTTTACCTTGAAAACAGTGATGTATCTAAAAATGCTAGTCATATCTATAAACTATCTGTTCGCTTCCTGTTCTATGCTGCCTGTACAGAATAGAGAAGCTGGTATCTTTCTGGCTGACCTCTTTGCCTATGCTTATTCCTCTCTTTCTGTCAGTGTTCTCACTTGGGTTTCACTTCCCTACTTTTCAGAAAGATCTAGGTGAAGATGACCCGCTGGGCACGGAGCAAAAGTGTCCTCAAGCATGAACGACAGCCAGGCGAGGCTACCACGTGGTCTGAGTTCGTATCTCAGCGGCAGCAGGCAACAAAACCTCGTTTCGCTCGTCTTGATGACACTGGGGCTAATACGAAGTTGTTGAACACTGAAAAGGAGCTATCCGAAAGTAGCAACCTTGCAGCCAGGAAGAAGCTCTCGAGCTCAGGCAGTACTGGTGCTGAGTCCAGTACTGACAGGCAAGGTGTGACTGGTGATGCTGTCCATCTAAAGAAAGCAGCAGTGACTACTAACAAGCCTTCGCAAGACATCAATGAAAATTATAGCAACTTGAAGGTGAAGCCTTTTTGTCATCCTGTCACAAGCGTTAATGCAGCTGTTGCTTCTAGGTGCATGTAGTTTGAAGATTTGGTTATGCAAACACATTTCACTTCATGATAGGGCGAACTATAAAAAGGCTTCTAGGCTGACCATAGTGACAAAATAATTGGCTGAAGTGTCAACTTTGCTTGTATGCATCATGATCTCTACTGAATGAACATTTGTATTTGTATGAAGAAATTGAATTCTCCGCAACATTATATTTTTGTGAAATTTCTTGAAAACGTGTTTCTGCTTTTGTACGAGCACATAACTAAGAAGGAAGTTTGTTCAGGTTTATGAGAGATCATTTAGTACCCAAATAATATACATGCTCATTTCTGTGACTAGGAAAAAGTTGTGTAGCACACTTGGTTCCAGCCCTCAAAAAAAAAAAAAAATGACAGCCTGCACAATTGGGCTTCAATTTTATAGTACCATAGACTCTCTTAGGCTGTGGTTTAACAAGCTTTTTAAAAAAAGCTGAAATTTGTTGGCTAAGTCTTAAGGTGTGTGTTGTGCTTATTTGGCATCTTTCACCCAGACAGACTGAACTCTGTCAAAGATGTTAACATTTAAATTATTCTGTGGTCATAAGAATATGTGTTTCAGTGTGGGTGCATAAAAACTAGACTTCCTTGTAATCAATCAAACAAGATTGAAATCGAAACGTGCAGTGTGACAATAGTATAGTAAGTTCATCTGCTGTGTACATTGGTCCTGAGAAAGTTGATTTCATTCATCGGAAAGTTTGTGTTGAAACATCTAGAAAAGATTTTCTGAAAGAAAATCTAGAAAGAAATCATCTAGAAAGAAATTTCTGTGATTGTAATCTCTGTTCTCTTTGTGTGGAATTTTTCTCAATGCAGGCGAAAAGCCAAAATGCTGCCAAAAGAAAAGTGGTTTCAGCACACAACGAAGAAGGTGAAGCACTCAATAAGCTGATGCTGAAGCACAGAAAAACCAATGCAGGTTCTCCAGGTGCACAGAATACCATGAGGGTAGCTTCTGCAAAAAGTTTTGCTGTAGTGCCCGTGCCAAGTTCTAGTATTGGAAGTGCAGGCAGTACAGGTAACACAGTTTCAAGAAATATTGGGAAAAAAATATCATTTAGTATTAAAAAAAAAACATGTTTGCTCAAATCAAACATTTCTGCTGCCGAGATTGCTGTACCAGCATCAAAAAACAAGCTTCCGCCTTTCAGTGTGACTACGAAATGTAGCGATGAAAAAGAGTCACAGTCTTCGGCTCAGTTGTCAAAAGCAAGAAAAAAGAAGGTGATTACTAAAAAGCATCTTCCTTCACCTGGGGAAGAGGCTCCCCTTTCAGCCAAAGATGAAGGAAAGTCTGACAGCTCTGTCCCTGACAGGGGAGCAGCAGTCCCAAAAGAGGAAGCATTGCTCGTCATTGAAAATGTAGGGGACAATGAGGGAGAGGAAGGGCAACGTGTGTCCAAGGTGCCTAGGACAGGCCCGCACGTTGATGGTGGTGGCAGCTGCAAAGCCAAGCGATTGCAGCGGATGCGGAAGCAGCGGGAGGCAAAAGGCCTGCTGCTTCTGCCAGAAAAGGTGGAACGACGCATCTACCTGACCAAAAAGTCCATGCGCAAGAAGGGCATTCCTGGCGAGCAGATCAAGGAAGCTGTGCGCAAGATGCGACGAAAGGAAGAGCTGCTGTTCCGCAGGCAGCTGGCAAAGGTGAGAATTATGCTGTCACCGTGTTGTTCCACATAAAGGAATCAATTTTGTGAGAAGGGCAAATTAGTCTAATTTCTATAAGAAGGGTAGTCTGCTGGGAATAGAAAATGTGTTTTAACCTAAATGGTTATTTTGCTTCAATATAAAATAATGGCACCACTTGCAATTCCAACAATGAGCATAATGCATTCATTGTAGCATTACTAAATGGCACCACTGTTGCTGTCAAGTTTGAACAAGTTGACAGTTCTTAGCAGCATTGTGCTGTAGGCAGTGCTCAATTTAAAAACAACATAAGAGTGGGCAGATCAGCATAAGCGTGGGCACGAGGTTAGGCAGCTGCTCCCCCATAGTCATCTAAAAAGGGGAGGGGCCTAGGTTTCCAGTAGCTGAAAGAAGGGGTCAAAGGCTGCCCTATACTTAGACTTAGTAGAAGAGGGAGGAAGGTAGTACTACTGCTCGGACAGTATAAGGTTTGCATGTTGTGTACCAGTTTGCAAACCTGTTGATCTTAATTATGGGCACCTTTTCTGTTTGAAAGCCACCCATTTATGCGATTTCTCGTGTGTGAAAGTCACTTTTGTTAGCAACAGCTTTCGCCTCATTCTAGAGTAACTTCATATTTATTTTGTTTCCATGGCACAGCTATGCTTCAAGTGTCGTCAGCCTGGCCATCGAGTGTCTGACTGTCCTCAGATGCTCCAAGATTCTAGTGAGCCCATTGGAATTTGCTTCAAGTGTGGATCAACAGAGCACTTCTCATCTGCATGCACAGTTCAGACAAGCAAAGACAACGGCAAGTATTTAGTCTCCTCTCACAAGGAAGCAGCTACTGTACAGTGGCATCAAATACAGTCGAACCCTTTTACAACAGACACTGATGTAACAGAGAAATGTGTGTAAGAGACACCAGCGTGCTTACATCGAAATATGGGTTGATAAGAAAATGCATATATGGTACCCTGCTTATTAGAGACACGTCATATAAAAGACGAGAATTGCTACTTGATACATGTTTCTTATAAAGGAGTTTAATTGTAGTGGTTCACTCTCGACTGGTTACTTTTTGCTATTATAGTGTTCTCTTGCATGATGCTTCATATAAAGCGACGCATCGCAGGTGCAATAAGTACCCTTATTAGTAACACTTTGCTTAATGATTATCCTGCCAACCTGTCTCTACGGTCAGCAACTGTGCAATATAAAACTAACACTCTTATAAATGTATTGACTGGCAAGATGCATTTATTGCATGCAATCCTCCTTTTTGGCAATACCGTAGTGAGTGCGCTCTTCCCATTGTGTTAAATTCTTGGAGTACCTCTTAATATTGAAGGCTTTCTTTCAGGCAGTATCGGTTGACCCGGAACCTATGAAAGCCCAGCAAAATCAGCTAAGGGCAGCACAGGAAATTTAAAAACGGAGATCGTGCCCGTTTAGTCAGTCGTAGTGTGCTGAAGATAGTGTCGACCATGCATGCATGATTATTAGGGAAGTGTTGGTACTTATGCCCAATGTAACACAGGCTGCAAATTTGCTGTGTTAAAAATGCCGCAGTCATAACAATAAGCTTTTATTATTCTTTTTAAACAGAGTTCCCATATGCCAAGTGTTTCATCTGCAAGCAACAGGGGCATCTGAGCCGCAAGTGCCCTCGCAACGATAAAGGAGTGTACCCAAAAGGTACGTCATTCGAACTCTGCTTCTTTCAATTCACTTCAATTTCAGAATTTAGAACAGCCACACACTGTTCAGGGTGCAATAATGATGTGCGTTTTACACAAAGGACCTATGTACAGGGAGCTGAGGAATTGAGGTCTTGTAGTAGTAACTCAGACAGGAGGGCTCGTGAAAAAGAAGCTAAAGAAACTTGTTAATGTTCACACTTGAAGAGTACTATACAAATAAGACAGCAACTTTGATTTCAGGGTTCAAAAACTTGTGCTCAGTCCTCTTTTGGTTGGTGTAGATTTTTTTTTTTAAAAGTATTCACAATGGAATCTCATTGATACGATTCTGCATACTATGTTTTTAAGCCTATTTCCATTTTATTTTTGCTCCCAGTCAACATTACTCCGAGCCAACCTCTTTGGTTAACTATTTTTGCATACTATATTTAATTTTGGCTCCCACGGAAAACATATAGGTGAGATTCAACTGTAAATACCTATTTTTACAAATTTAATTTTAAACTGCTGCAGACAAAAAACAACAAAAAACACATAGTTTCTAATTTGTACAATAGTGCTCAGATAAACGTGCTAGTCAGCAAAAAAATTTCATAGAATCTTATGTATGGCACTAAGCGTACTCCCTGTCTGCAACACACAGTACTGATCATTGATGCTTGCAAGTATCTAATTCTAGCTGAATGAGAGTACAATGTGAAATGGCTTCAATGATTAATTGATATGTGGGGTTTAACGTCCCAAAACCACCATACGATTATGAGAGATGCCATAGTGGAGGGCTCCGGAAATTTTGACCACCTGGGGTTCTTTAACGTGTACCCAAATCTGAGCACGCGGGCCTACAACATTTCCGCCTACATCGGAGGTGCAGCCGCCGCAGTCGAGATTTGAACCCGCGACCTGCGGGTCAGCAGCCGAGTACCTTACCACTAGACCACTGCGGCGGGCTGAAATGGCTTCAATGGATTATGCTGGCAGTTCGTGTAAAAGTTGGTGATAATTTAGAATACCCTTTTCTTCCTCAAGATCTCTGTTATATTTTGTTAGCACAGTTTCGCAACTGCTGTCGTGCAAGGTTGGCAAGAAAAACTAAGTCTTAAATGCTCCCCAACACCTCTCATAATCCGACTCAGTTGGCCAGGAAAAGGAAATTGATAGTTGTAATTTAAAGGGCCAAGAAGAGAGAAGAGTGGGTCAGGGAATAAAAGTCTGTTAATACCATCTCATTTGAAATTAAGAAGAAACCAGGAGGGCATGTTGTGATAAGCCATGGCAACCGCTGGCAGACTGGACTCCAAGAGAAGGCATGCATGGTAGGGGAAGGCAGACAGTCAAGTGGGCAGATGAGATTAAAAAGCTTGACAGGATATCGTGGCCCCTGTAAATACGAGACCGAAATGCAGATGCCCAGCATGTGTGGAAGACGTGCAATACAATTTCACATCAGTTTAGTGATTCCGCATTCGTTAACGACAATGAGTGACAACCAAGTAACACAAAAATCTGAGTTACTTTTTTTTAGAGGTGTGCGAATATTCAATCTTACAAATATTTTTCTAGTAAGTGTTTGATATTCTATTCAATTCACAGCAGAATTTTACTATGACAAGTACCGTAATTACTCGAATCTAACGCGCACCTTTTTTTCGGTTAAGCGAGTTCATAAATCGCATGTGCGTTAGAATCGAGTACGAACAAACAAATTACGGTCAATCTATTGCCATAGGCAAATCCAAAATGGCCGCCCCCTACGTGCGCCAGCATGGCCCGTCGGCCATTTCTGCCTATGTGTTTCCCATGTGCGGCACTTCGTACGTGTGCTAAAGAGTTCGTCATCTAGTAGTGCATTAGCATCGACGGCGTGGAAGGGCCGACTCCAAAAACTCCAGTGCACCACGATGCTGCTTTTAAAAGAAAAGTCATCGCATGTGCAGAAACGGACGGAAATTGGGCCGCATCGCGGTCGTTCGGAGTACCCGAAACGTGCGTGCGGGACCAGTGGAAACAAAAGCAGAAGATTGTCGACAGCAAAGCTTCACGCAAAGGTTTCAGTGGACCACAGCAGGGTCGGTTTCCGCAAATTAAAGAGCTGCTCGGCGAGTATGTGCTTGAGCAGCGAGCGGCACAGCGGCCCGTGATGACAGAACTGCTCCAAGTGCGGGCTATGCAATTAGTCTTAGAAAAAGATCTAATGCGGAGCCAATTCAAAGCGAGCAGGTGCTGGCTAACTAACTTTATGAAGAGGAAAGGCTTTTCCCTCCGAAGGGGAACATGCATATGCGAAAAGTTTTGCGGAGGAGTACGATGAAAAGCTTCACAGTTTTCAGAGGTTCGTCCTAAACTTGCGGCGCAACAACGGCTACCTGCTTGGGCAAATCGGGAATGCCGATCAGACGCCTCTTTACTTCGACATGCCTGGCACCACAACCGTCGAGAAGAAGGGGGCAAAGCAAGTTCGCGTGCTGACATCGGTCCACGGTAAAACTACAGTGACGGCAATGCAATGTTACACGTCAGATGGGCACAAGCTTCGCCCGTACTTCATATTTAAATGGAAGACGCTCCCGAAAGGAGTCGTTTTTTCGAGTGGTGTGATCGTGCGGGCCAGCGAAAAAAATGGGTGCGCGTTGCAATCGATGTCTTACGTTCTTTTTTTTTCGCAGTGGAAATCGGGTGCGCGTTACAATCGAGGGCTCGGTAGAATCGAGTAAATACGGTATTCATACTTCCAGAGGACAAATACTATAAGTCAACGTTCAATTGACAGTGGCCCCTTCAAACTTTCAATATGCTTCACCCCATTATACTCTCGTATTGCGGCAAAACTGCCTTTGAGGCTTTGCTACAATCGCAAATGCATTGACTCAAGAAAGCACGGGTTACAACGTGAAGATGATAGATGCAGCAGAGGTGGGGGCTTAATTAAGGCTGTTTTGGACCTGAAATTTTGACTGGAAGTCGCAAATTTTTAATATGCATTACATTACATTACACTCTCGCATTGCGGCAAAACTGTTTTTGAGCCCCGTCGCGGTGGTCTAGTGGCTAAAGTACTCGGCTGCTGACCCGCAGGTCGCGAGTTCAAATTCCGGCTGCGGTGGCTGCACTTCCGATGGAGGTGGAAATGTTGTAGGCCCATGTGCTCAGATTTGGGTGCACGTTAAAGAACCCCAGGTGGTCGAAGTTTCCGGAGCCCTCTTCTACGGCGTCTCTCATAATCATATGGTGGTTTTGGAATAACAAACCGCACATATCAATCAATCAATCTACGATCACAGATGCATTGACTTAAAAAAAATAGTGGTTGCAACGTGAAGATATAATAGATGCAGCAGAAATGGGGGCTCAATTAATGCTGTTTGGGCCTGAAATTTGGGCAAGAATTTTGGAAAAAAAAAAAAAAAATGGGTTCCACATGTTCTTAAATATTGACATCTTGGAGGCATACTGAGAACTTGAAACTCGTAAGGAATATACTCCTGCCTGCCATGTCAGCTGGGCCTCCGCAGATGTTGAAAGAGGAGGGAGAGGCTGAGGAAGTAGGATCTATGCCTTCCATGTGTAAAGTGTTGTCAACAACAGTTTAGTTGCACCAAATCATGTCTGCAAATACAATTCAACCGCGGCATCGACTGATTCTTGATAAGACAATGCTGAAACACCAACCTTCCAGCACTTCGTGAACCTAGCTATAAGAAGCACTTTCATGTTCAAAGCTCATAATAATATGCTTAAAAAGCCTCTCCGACTTTTTTTCTGCAATATTGCTTCGACGTATTCGAAAAATATTTGAGAAATATTAAAAAAATACTGGATTCGATTCGCCCTCAAATGTCGATATTCAAATTCACTTTGCACCCAAAATTTTGCTATTTACACAACTCAATTTTTTTTTCTTAACATAAGTTCCTTATAGTTACAGCTTAATGAGGAGCTTGTGGACGCATTGTTCTTGCAAGTGCGCATACTATTGTTTCATTGTTAGTTTTGACATGCACAAACATGAAATTGTGCTTGGACTGTTTTGTGCACCTGACTCAATGATCCCCTCTCTATGCTTGGATTTCCGCTATTGTAGGAGGTCACTGCAATTTCTGTGGAGCTATCGACCATTTTAAAAAGGAGTGTCCCAAGATGGAGAAGAATAAGAGCAAAACCAGCGAGGAAAGCGAGATTGCTGCCGACATTGTGAGCGTTGGCCAGAGTGCAGACGCTGAGAACATTGTGCCTTTACATCAGGGTGTCCAGCTAAAGAAGGAGAAGGTGGTTAGCTTCTGAAACTGTGTTGTCTGCAGAACTGGCCACACAACCTTGTAATAAAGAATCAAGTTTTTTGGAGAAACTTCTGGATGAAAATTTGACATTTCACAATGAGAGGTGACAGTGCACATGAAAACAGAGGTGCTCATAGAATAGGCAAACACAAGCGCTGCGATCTATCTGTCGGTTTGTTGTTATAGAAGCAAGACTAACAAGCTAGCCAACCAATACTGGCCTAATCTGACATTTCATTGAACATGGGAATGGCTGAAAGGGCATTGGTCACTCAAAATGGTGAATATACTATTCAACAATCGTAGTGCTTGGTGACATGTGAATTATTACTCAGATTTATTAACATGCTTGTATACATTTATAAAATGCATCGGAAAAAAAATTTCTGATGTTATAATTTGATTGATACGTGCAAAACTGTTTGGTCAGATGCATTGGTATTTGAAAATAAAATGTTTTAATGAAGCTGCGATTTAGGTATTTTCTTATGAAGAAGTTAGAAGCTCTTGCGGTGTATGAAGCTTTTTTTACCATTGTTACGGAGGCCAAAGCATCAATGGGGATACATATCTACCACTCTTTTGTTTTTGGAATTTCATTGCGATAGCAATTATATTGTGGGCATTTAGTATGCCCATCCTCCTCATCTGTACATTATCATCATTATCATGTGTTGCTCATGCATGCTCATCGTTGTCGTGTAGCATCATCATCTTGATTCGTTCATCGTAGCTGTCAGCTGCTTGTTCCTCGTGCCTAATAAAGATCTTCCAAAACCAAAACTTCATACGTGGTGGAGGGTGCTGTTAGATTCCCCGTCGTCCTCTCGACCGCTCTACCCCTTAGAGCTACGTTCTGGTCGCCGCTTGGGCCAGGTGTCTGGAAATATGTCACATCAAGATGAGGTTGGTGCTGCAGCCGTTCCCACTCCGCCACCGCGCCTTCTCACGTCATTAACAGCCTCCAGCGTGAGCACCACCCTTTCGCTAATATGCGCGGGGAAGATGTGAAAGAATGGCTGGACGATTTCGAACATTTCGGCGCTGCTAACCGGTGGGATAACACCTACAAACTCGCTCACGTCTCATTCTACCTCACGGGTGTCGTGAAGACATGGTTCTTCAACCACTTCATCGACATGCCCGATTTGTAAGCCTTCAAAGATCAGCTTCGCCATGTCTTTGTCACAGCGGCTGTTCGTTCGGCTTTCGCAAAGAAAGCTCTCGCAGCTTGGAAACAGCACAACGGGAAGTCGTATACATCCTCCATCGAGAATGTTCTTTCACTTTGCCGCCGGGTTGACACATCAATGACAGAGTCAGACAAGGTACGTCAGCTTCTTAAGGGGATTGCACCCATCGCATTAAATGCCCTTGCAAACCTGATTCGGGCTACCGTTGCTGGCGTTGCAACAACCTGTCAGCACCTCAAAGAACTAGAGTCTATGCGCTTAGAACCGGACAGTGACACGGCCCGTACTACGGCGGATCTAAACCTACGAGACACGATAAGGCCGATTATACGCGAAGAATTAAAATCAATGGGATTCACACTACCTTCAGTGTGTCCCATTCAGTCTTCTTCAACATAATTGCGGGATGTCATCAGGGAGGAGCTCACGTCCATGACCCACATAGCCCACCTGCAGCCCACTGTCGCTCGCACTCTCCCATCATGCTCGCATGTCGCCGCCGCACGGTCAGCTCGACGTCGCCACCACGAACGTACGCGTTGGTTGCTGCCGCACCTCCCACAAGCTTTCCCACGAGCTTTCCATCACCACTGCCTGAGCCATCATCTGTCCCTCTCACTGCTCTCTCTCCCGGTGTAGTTAACGCAAGCTACTACCCTCCTTATCGATCGACTCGCCTTACGTGCTATTACTGCGGCTATTGTGGTCACATTTCGCGCTTTTGCGGCAAGCGCCAGCAAGACGAGCGTCGAGGGTACAACGTACGCTAACGGGACTATACTGCAGGAGCCTTGTACCAGGGCCGCCGTTATTCGTCATACGCTAACGGGACTATACTGCAGGAGCCTTGTACCAGAGCCACTGTTATTCGTCACCGCCGTGTCGGTCTCCATCTCCGCCAGCACCGGGTGAACTGCGCAGGAGGCATCGATCAACCCGACGCCGTTCACCGTCACCCTACCGTCGCTCCTCTTCTCCGTTTCAGCTTGCTTCCCTCGCTTCTGAACGTCGTCCGGAAAACTAAACGATGCAGTTTTTGGAGGACAAACTGCGTTCCAACACATGACTCCAATTCCTCCAGCGCGCCCTTATAATATGATTTCAGTCACAGTTGAGGAAGTGGACGTTGATGCTTTAATGGAAACTGGGGCTGTGTTTTCTATTATTCGTGCTGATTTGCGTGTCCGTCTTCGAAAAGTCACGACGCCTTATGATGAACCGACACTGGTTACAGCCCAGGGCACAACGATTCGCCTTTCCGCTCTGTACTTCCCGTGTGCTAATCGACATTCTTCACCATATAGAATTTGCTGTGCTATCCCAGTGCTCCCGCCAACTCATTTTAGGCTGGAACTTTCTTTCCTCTGCTTCCGCGGCTACTTGTTGTGCACAACGTGTCGTCTATCTTACTGACATAGACCACTTGTTCAGCGACGAAATCTACAGGCCACTTCGACTCATCGCTGCTGTAGACATCGAGCTACCACCACACAAACAACAATTAGTCTCAGTTTTGTCCAGCTACATCGACTCTGGTGGCATTTTGGTCACTCCGTCGCCCCGTTGCCTTAATAAAGGCATAGCTCTCGCATCAGGTGTGGCTCCCTTCAACAATGGATCAGCTGTCGTCCTCCCTGCTACGAACACCACACCAGATAAAATTTTACTGCCGCGGGGCACTACTGTTGCCTGCATTGCCGATCTGGAGCCTGTGTGCATTGTGCCTCTTACCCCTGCCTCCTCTAAAGGCCATCCTGGAGATCATGCTGCTTCCTCGGCCTTTACAGCAGCCATCATTAAAGACTTGACAGACTCACAGAAGCAGCAGCTGGTTGATTTGTTGGAATAGCATGCAAACTCTTTTGACGTTTATTCATCCACCCTGTGCCAGACTACCGCTATGGCACATCGTATTCAGACCGACGAAACAGCCATTGTGCACCGCCGTCCGTACCGCGTGCTCAATGGCTGTGCTCCTGCAATGCGACAACTCTTCGGGAGAGCGAGTCATGTGTACACCAGCCGCGTCCTCTCCGCAGCCGAGAGGAACTACACGATCACCGAGCAGGAGTGCCTCGCCATCATTTGGTAAGTGCAGAAATTTCGTCCTTATCTGCACGGCCACCATTTCACCATTGTGACCGACTACCACGCTTTATGTTTGCTTTCGACACTCAAGAACTTATCAGGACGCCTCGGCCGCTGGTTTCTACGCCTACAAGAGTATGATTTTGATATCGTATACAAGTGTGGCAGAAAGCATAGTGATGCCGACGCTCTTTCTCGCTGCCCACTACCAACGGCGCGACTCGGTGTTTCCGCAATCACGTTGCACAACACACCCTCGAAGTCCACCAAGTCTATGGCGATTCCCTCTCTCGCCTTTATGGACCAGCTGCCTTCGGACGACCCCCACGATTCTCCTTCTCGACAGCTGGCTGACCCATACTGTCGGGGTATTATAGGCTACCTCACTGGTAGTTCCCGTCCACCTAATTCGAGGCTCCGTCGCCAACTCGCAATTTAAGCTGGACAACTCGATACTGTGCCGCAAAATTTACCATCCTGATGGTCAGCGCTGGGTTCCCGTTCTATCCCAATCGCTTCGGTCCGAAGTCCTTAGAGCGCTTCATGACCATCCGACTGCTGGTCACTTCGGTTACCACAAAACCTGCGATCGCCTTCGAAGTCGGTTTTATTGGCCAGGCATTACCACTAGCGTAGCTCGATACGTCTAGTCCTGCACTATCTGCCAATGTAGAAAACTACCTATATCTGCTTCAGCCGGTACCCTACAGCCTCTTCCGTGCCCAGCCACACCATTCGAAGTTGTAGGCGTTGATCTTTATGGCCCCCTTCCAGTCAGTGCTGCTGGAAACCGGTGGATAGTAACAGCCGTTGACCATTTGACGCGCTATGCCGAGACGGCATTCGTCACTACTGCTTCAGCTGCTGAAATGGCCGATTTCATCCTTCGAGCCATTATATTGCATCATGGTGTTCCACGTGTTTGCTCAGTGACTGTGGAAGGGCCTTCCTTTCACAACTAGTGAACGAATTTCTTCATACCTTCGGCACAACTCACATGACTGCCTCTAGTTATCATCTCCAGATTAATGGCCTCACTGAGCGATTCCACCGCACTCTTGCTGACATGATCGCGCCGCCTATACTCAACCAGACTACAAGAACTGGGACGTAGTTCTACCATTCGTCACTTTCGCCTACAATACGACCATTCAGCGGACAACCGGCTACTCACCATTTTACCCAGTTTATAGACGCTCCCCTACTTCTTTCCTGGATGTCTCTTTCTTTACCTGCCATGCGAATTCATCTCTATCCTCTTCAGAGAAATATGTTTTACGACTCGCACAGTGTCGTCAACGTGCTCGCATAAATACTGAAGCCCGACAGCAAGAAAGAAAGCTAGTTTATGATGAATCGCATCGTGCTGTATTCTTTCAACCTAGTGACGAAGTGCTCCTCTTGACGCCTATTCGCACACCTGGTTTGTGCGACAAATTTTAGCCACGGTTTATCGGGCCATACACAGTTCTTGAAGAGACTTCACCAGTGAATTACCGCGTGACGCCACTTGTAGCCCCAGCAGATCGCCGTTATTGAACTACTGAGGTCGTCTATGTCTCCTGTATGAAGCCCTTCATGCGACGTTCTTTGTCCCCTTGACCTGCCGCGGCCAGACTGGCCACTTTCACGTGGGGGGAATTAGTGTGGACATTTAGTATACCAATTCTCTTCATCTGTACATTATCATCATTATCATGTGCTGCTCATGCATCTTCATCGTTGTCGCATAGCATCATCATCTTGGTTCGTTCATTGTAGCTGTCGGCTGCCGGTTCCTCGAGCCTAATAAAGGTCTTCCAAACCAAGACTTCATAATATGAACACACTCGTTTGATTTTTGTCATCGCCATCATGTCCCGGATGTGTGTTCGTGTGTGTGAGCGGCGTGCATGTGTGTAAAGGCAGAGAAAAATTAATCAGGAGAAAAAAAATTCCAAGGCACCCTCTGGGGATTCTGACTAGTGACACCTTGCTCTACAGTGCGCTGCATTAACAAAATACTGTCCATCTCATTAACGGCGAGCTAAGTATATACACCATTATCACTGGCTTACTATCAATGGACTTGAACAAAGCTTGTTCTTTGTTCGGACAAGCCATACATGCTTTCTCTAAACATTGACGTGTCAATAGCTTGATCAACAGAGGGGTGGGCCCACTGAAGCACATACAGTTGGATGAAAAGGACATTACAAAATGTCTCTGGCTCCACTTTCACTCTGAAGCAGCAGAAAAAATTGCTCGAATCAAGTGCAAGACTATTCTGGAAGTCGGTGGTCCTGTTGTGCATATGAATTGAGATCCCGTCAAAGCGCACTCAGCCACTTCCGCTTAAGATGAACAGACTTGACTTGCTGCCCTGGATGAGTTGTGGTGACGCAAGTGCCGTAAAACATCGCCTGACTTCGTTGTCACAACAGTGTACATCTTACCAGAAACCTTGCAGACTGAAGTCATGAACTCCTTGCTGCACAACTTCCGTGCGGTGTGCCTACAGAACGTGCTGGTGACAGTCATAGGAGATTTCAACATTAATTGACTTCGATGCAAGAACCAGTGGCTTGTCACGTTTCTCGATGCCAAACAAGTACTTCGCCTCTTGTCGTACATCATGCAGTCAGCTGTTCACAACACCATCTGTTCATGTACTGTGGTTATTGCGTTATTGTCAATTCAAGCCCAGTCGACCATGTCCACCACGTTTCGTATGGTTCCTGAATCTCCCTCGCCTTATTTCGTATAACAGACCAATGTGTTGCTATCACATCTATTGCTTCGACCTTGTGCCGAAACTGCGACTTTTTTGCTTTGAAGACATGCACTATATTGGATGTGCTACATCTGTGAATCTGCTTATGTCTGTATAAGTAGAGTCCTCATGCCATTAAACTACGATCACCCTTATGTTGGAGGTAGAATTGACTACTAAGAGAGTTTTTAGGACATAGGCATAGCCAGAGAAAGGATTTGGGCGGAGGTGGGTGCTTAACTTTTGTTTTTGCAAATTTTGAGTTTGTATGTGCATATATTTACACACATACAAACACACAAGCACATGCATATGGAGAGGCAAGTACATACCTCGGCAAAGAAGGTAGGGATATACATGTTTTTATATTCTCGACGTTTTACAATGTCTCAATATAAAAGTGGTGACATAACCATACACGCCACATGTTACATTTTGTGTCTTAAAGATTGAGAGGTACTGAAGTTTTTAAGTGTACATTAAACCAAGTGTCCAAGAATTTGCTGTGTAGTATCAACTCTGTGCATGACCACAGACTGTACAGTGGCAAGAAAATTTTTAGATGCTGTAGTATTGAAGTGCAGGAAATTAAGTGCTTCATTTTATCCATACTATTGTTGCTGTTCACTTTTATGCATGCACTAGTAATGGGAAGTTCCTCAGACAGTTCTTCAGACCTTGGGGCCAGCTAATCTATATACAGTTACACGCCTTTACGAGAGGCATGCTCCTAGAGCTATCCTTTTATTTTATATGAGATGTCAGTTATAAGCGGGGGTATTTTCTTGTCAACCCGTATTTTACTCTAAGCACACTAGTGTCTCTTTACCCATTTGTCTTTAATATAAATGTGTCTTATAAAATGGTTTGACTGTGTAATGTAGGCCTAGCTTATGTATTATGTACCATCCTCGCGGGCAGAAGCGCTACGTATAAGTTTACCTCTTGTGGTGTTGGCAATACTCATGTTGCTGTTGGCATGGTTACGCAACTGTAAGCAACCATTTATATAAAACGTATGCGGCTATTCAACGTCCTTGTGTACAACATTTGTACATACCTTTCGCGTCATTGCATGTTTCGCTCAATCACAAAAATTACACCCATTTCCACTCAGTTTCCCTCCGCATGCTTTGCATAACGTAGATTTCCATGGCACGTGGGATCTGCCGAATTCTTTTTTTTTAATCATGCTTCATGCAATGCCAACTGATCAAATCTCTCAAAAAGAACTGTTAACACGTAATGGGTGAGCCTAATATTATTGGCGCACCGTGTTTCTTGTAACACACAGCCAACTCTTTGTTGCATAGCTTATGTCCCTTTCCTATGTGCATCATGTCATGGTGTGTGAATACTGGACCAGAAAAACCAGGAGAGGCCAGCAGGGTTCCTTCTTAAATTTGTAGATTCCTTCTGACACGGAGCAGAGACCTGTCTCGCTGGGCCATCGCTGTATGATAAATGCAGAAATGCCACATATAAAATGTGAAGGGATTGCAAAAAAAAAAAAAGTATCTGTGTATTGATGACTAGAAATATATCCACTTCAAGTGAAAATTGAGATGCACTGCTTAATAATGGGTCATATTCACTTACCATGTTTCCAAAGCACTCGATTTATATCCCAAGAAAGAAAATTAAGTAATGTAATGTTTCCGAGTTTCTGTAAATAATTATAATTAGCTTGAAATTAAATATTTCATTATTCTGCAGTAAGTCATATTTCAAATCTGACATAGAAAGAATAAAATCATAGGCTAAAAATGTGTGTGCCATTGGTTTTTGGCTGCATTCACTTTGAGAAAACTGTTATACCTTTCGCGTTGGTTGTGAAACGCGGCACGTCAAATGACCTGTCAAACATCGCAGTGCCTTGGACAAAGTGGTCGGCTAGTCATACGCAGCACACTCAATAAGGTGACATATTGACCATGCAGAAGGTTGAATTCATCCAATGAGCAATGTATTTTGCCCTCTTTTGTCCCCAAGTTGACACAACCAGCGTAAAAAAACTTGTAAAAATGAACATATTCACCACCGCTGAAGGGGATATAAAGCACATAGCTAATGTTGAGCTGAAGTGAAGGTTAGCAATGGCAGGAGTCATTGAACCTAAGTTTATGCTCTGGCAGAAAAGTTTCAAGAGGCTGTCACGCACGCAGTGTACCACTTCTTGGTTATGTGTACACATCTAAACTCTAGCAACTTGTGCCTTGAATCAAGAAGAGAAATGTAGTAAAGTGCCAAGTGGCTTACGACGACTTTGATGAAATACAGTGACGCACACACTGTTGTATGTAAATGCACCCCTCTGCACTGCATTTCTTTCCCCAATATGATTTACTACACTACATGAATGTACTGTGGTGAAGCTTACTAATGACAATTGGACATTGTGAGGAGTTTAATTGGAACACTGCACAGTCATTTCAGGACACGTACACTGCCCATTCTCCTTTATGGCCATCACATTCAAACTGCTTTCAGGATGCCTGGTTTGACAGTATCGGTCAAAATTAGAGCTATTTCTAGCGGCACAACCAGGATTCTTTATTGGTGTGCGTGTGCAATGATGGGGGGGGGGGGGGGGAGGCATGAGCTCAGTGTACCAGGTCGATGCATAGCATGCTGCACAGTCACAGGGAAAGCTAGAAGAGCAGCCTTTTAGAGCTTCAAAAAAAAACTCCTGGGACAACTGCTATAGCATACTTGCATTTTTTGTGAAGCAGAAAGCAGCTACTATGCCATCATTCGTTATTCTGAAGAGAAGCAAGGTACCTGCTTCACATTACTGTTTTATCGGCATCATTTCCCAAGATGTGGGAACTAATGATTTATTGATTGATATGTGGGGTTTAACGTCCCAAAACCACTATATTATTATGAGAGACGCCGTAGTGGAGGGCTCTGGAAATTTCGACCACCAGGGGTTGTTTAATGTGCACCCAAATCTGAGCACACAGGCCTACAACATTTCCGCCTCCATCGGAAATGAAGTCGCCGCAGCCGGGATTCGAACCCGCGACCTGCGGGTCAGCAGCCGAGTACCTTAGCCACTAGACCACCACGGCGGGCCAAGATGTGGGAACCGACTACTGTAAAACTGGGAAAATTGCACCCAAGGGGACGCAGCATTCAATACGCTGAAGATTGGCAGTGCATGACAGTTTGATATATGCGTTTTATAGCGCTATAGCCTCTTTGTACGATGTAGTGAAGTATGTTATAACTGCTCACTCTCCTGGCCAGATGAGTAAAGAAATGCATGAGCAATATAAAAAGAAAAAGAAAACAGCAGTTTACTCACTTATACAACAATGCCCATAAATTGTAAGAGGCACATACCATATTCAACATTATAAACAATATCATGCTTGAAGCAGTTTGAAAGCATGATTGACTAAAAAAGCAACTCTGAGATAATTTAACAATGAGCTGCAGATGCCATCAAAGCTCACACATTGCAACTGTGCTGGTGAGATTCGCTTGTTATGTTGGCAATTGCAAGGGCAACACTCAAAAGTTGCAAAGAACTCACAATTGTCCTGAACAAGCACTGCCATAAGCACCTGTGCCTGTGGAACAACTTAAGCCTCTTCCAAGTTTTAACGTAGACTTGTCCTGCTTAGTGATAGGACAGGCAATGATAAAACGTGAAGAAAACCCAGAAACTATGTCATCATGTGCACTTTTAAATCTGTTCAGGCAATCTAACTGCATGTGCGATAGGACTAAACCACGTTTAAAGTTAAGGTACCAGATTTCGTCAGTTCCTCTATTAAAACAGTTGCATGAAGTGGCAGTGTCGATTTTGTTCTGTTTTATCGACACAAACCAGCTAATCTTGCATGTTCAACATATGGAATGTTAATTAAATTGGAGAAGCACAGCTGCATGAAAGCTGTTGAGGCAACCTACACCATGACTACTGTACAAAGTTCCTTCCTACATACAGAATGCAAGTAAAATTCCTTCAGGTTGTGACGTTCTGTGGCTGACTAGTTGCACCAGCTGACACCCTGCAGCATTACAGGCAAGCCCAAAAAGCAGTGGGAGCTCTTGTCACACCAACAAGTGAATTCCACATGGTTGCAGCACCATGTTCAATCACTAGTACATCAAAAGGTGCAGGGAAGAAATCCATCATGAGAATAAACCAACAACTAGCTTCAGCAGTCCTGTTTTGGATTCATTCAGGCATTATGTGTGGCCATAACAGAATAAAAAAAAAATAGCAGTTTATGAACGTCATTAATTACACATTCCTCACATTGTAAAAAAAAAACACTGGGCACTGGGGGGTGATAATACCTAATAGCACTTCACCAGTATTATATATCACAGCAGAGAGAACATACACAATAAATCCTTGCATACCCATATTTACAAAGTTTGCTTAAAACTTCAAGCTTGCTTTCAGTAATTTGGCTGGAAAGATGGGGGCATCCTTTTTTTTGCAATTAAGCTTGTGCACAGCCTCGCAGCTAGAAGTTGTACAGGATAACAGAACGTAAACATCAACACAGTAATGTAACACAGCTGCGCTTGTACGTCATGTATGCCAGAACTGGGCTATACATACGAATGCGCTCCATCAACCCTCAATTCAAATGGTACTGGTGTGGATTGAAAGCAGAGGTATAATCTAACAATTAGTAGAACTTCTACAAGACTTTGATATATGAAGATATTATGCACAATATCTGGTTAAAAATTGAGAGAAAATAGAGAAGGAAAATCAACACTTTTTTGTTCGAAATGGCCATTTCTCACAAATTAAGCTATATTTAAAGCTACCGGCACATAAAGCCTAGGTAGGCAAAAACTGTAAAAAAGTATTGTGCTATGGTGACTATAACAGACATCCAGGGTGGCAATAAATGCTTTTTGCTGATTATATATATTCATATTATTAAGACGTATGTGCATGGCATCTGAATATTCAAATGAAGATATGAATTCATAGGCAATCGTATTGCTGAACTTGGAATAGAGCTGCACACTGAAGAGTACAGAATTCGTTTCTGCTCCACTTACTTCACTGTGTTTATGTTGCATATATATTAGCTGACATCAGTTCAAATATTTTGTTTATAGTATAACTCACTCATTTAGCAATAGGTCAGGGCCATTCACAATGAATAGTACCAGCAATAGAAACAGCACTTTTAAATGCACTGCGTAGGTTTGGTCTAAACAACACAACAGAATAAATCACTGCTGCTTACAATGAGCCGAGCAACAAGAGGCACAGCCTTAGCAAGCACAAGCATTACTGGCAATAGGTAAGCAAAATATATGAAGACATGTTATCAGTGAGGAAGAGACAAGAGCAACATGGTGATGGCACCAACACCCAAGACCATGCACAGCACTTTTGGTAGCCTGTTATGCGTGTGGCTCATTTCGTGAGGCAGCACCTCAAAGAAGGTCACATAAAGGAATGTCCCACACGCCAAGCCTTGAAGTATGCCATTCAACAGGGCCGCTTCCCCAGTATCACCTTGAATGAGCAGTGTGGCTAACACCATGCCAAGGGGGGCCATGAGTGAAAAGGCAAGTGCACTCGCAACAATGCTGCAGTGTCCGAGCCGGCTGTGCGCCAAGTTCAGTCCTAGGGTGATGGCCAAGATGCTCTTGTGTATGGATACGGCAGCCAGGATCTGGAGCAGCAGCTGCACACTTGGCTGAAGGCCAATGGCAATGCCTTCGAAAATCGAGTGCATTGAGAGGGATATCACCAGCACTATGGACCGGAGGCTGGAGTGGGAGTTGGGGTCTCCATGGATAGATTCCATAGTACGCTCCTCTGCCTCTGCGTCTTCCACGTCATCAGCCACACCGCGCACAAGTCCGTCGCCATGCGAGTCTGACTGCTGGAGGCTGCCATAGTTCACCACAGATGTGTCCCGGCCAAACGGAGATAGGGCAGAGTAAGTGAGCCTTGCATGAACCTCCTTCCAAAAGAGTGTCACCTACGAGAAACAGTTGGATCACTTGCGAGACATATGAAGTGCATGTGTCATCGCATACATTTTTTCAACATGTTTGCCATGTTAAGGTTGAATTGCAGACTACTTTGGTTAGCTGTAGTTGCAGCCACAAACATGAGTTTTTCCTTTAGTATGTGTTCACCGAACTTCTTGCACCTAGGCTAGGCCAATACCTGTGTCCTCATTCACTTGCTTGGCCTTCTGGCAAGTTTGCAGTCATTGACCCCTTTTTGGCTAGAGTTGAATTCTACAAATGACTAAATAAACAAAACATTACTTGTATAAACAGGAAACAAACTGAACTCTATTCAAGCATTTTACATTTCTGCTTTCATTACAACAGCATTGTTTTAAAGAAATAATGAAACAAGGCTCAGCCACTCACCTGCTCAATTACAAGGACAAGCAGCAGGCCTCCGATGCAGAGGAACTCAACAAACGGAAAGTCGGGTGCATTTTCCCAATAGTCTGCAATGCCTTTACTAAACTGGCTGCGTGCCTCAGGAAGCAGGTGAAGTAGGCATGTAGCAAGGAAAACGCCACCGCCAAAGCAGCTTGTGAGCGAGACAACTATCTGATAGGTGTGTCTGAAAGTAAAGGGATAGATGGGTTCTTTAGCTGTATGTACTACTGACACTGCAACTAACTAACAGATCAAATGCCTATGAACATGCTTGAGAGAAGAACAGGACAAGGGAAAATGGCAGGTGTTCTCTTTGCCCAAAAGGGTACTGATGTCATTTTTCTGTGTCAAATGACAGGCCAAGCCTTGAAGAGCCTAGAAAATGCACTGAACACCGTGAGCGCACCCTACAAATGTAATTACAGTACATTTCTAAAAACTAGTTACCGTTCCTACTGCACCCCGATGCCACAACCACGGTATGAGCTTCTCATCATGTGCTCGCACATGTTTTGTGCTCGTCATGTGCTCGCACACGTTTTCACAGCAGCTTCTCGCCGTGGCTTGGTTGGCGACGCAGAAGCAATGTAAGTTTTGGTACCAGATGCCATCAAAACTAGCCCGACGTCAAGCTAGTGCCAATGTTGGTAAGTGTGCCACAGGAAAAATTGACTTTCACATGCAAATAAAATATCTGTGCATTTCAAGCGTTGAAAGTTATGCGATACGGGAACATCTTCAAGATAAACTGCTCAGCAAGATGCGTCAGCGCTCCCTCTATCAGTTTATTGGACAAGGAATTCGATTATCTGCAGTCCTCGTGCTATAGTAAGAGTTGATTGTGAGTGTGAAATTTTTGACTGGTGTTATTTTGGCTATGCATTTTTTTCGTGTTTTTTTTCTTGTTATAAGTGACAAGATCTTTACTGTGGCTATATCTGTGTAACACGGTTCTTCAATAAACCAGTTGCGAATCTGCCCTCGTTTTTGTCATTTCTTTTTGTGTGTCCCATCCTGCTGCGCAGTTTATTCTTAAAATATCTTAGCACTTACTGAGCTTCACACTTGCTCAGCGCCATCTCCACATGCAGGAGATTGGTACGGCAGAGCAAACTTACCTTTGAAAAGTGGTGTCGGCACCACTTTCAATGTGCCCGTCAACAGAATTAACACTCTGTTTATGCATACAGAGAATGTGGCACAAGTCAGACGTGTGTTATTAGGTCAGGAGGGACATAATGAATGACAATTGTCGTTTATTGTTAATGTGCCTATACTGATGTACATTCAAATGAATCGAAGTGGGCGAAAAACCTGGACGAAAAAGCGAAATCTGATCCCACAACTTTTACATTTAACTTTTGGTACACGAAGCGCCGTAGGTCTGTTTCAGGCTGCGGCGGTCACATTTTAATGGAGGCGAAACGCTAGAGGCCCATACACTGTGTGGCATCAGTAAACCTTAAAGAACACCAGATGGTCAAAATTTTTGGAGCCCTCTACTACGGTGTCCCCCATAATCGTATCAAGGCTTTGTCACATCGAACCCAGATATTACAAGCCAAGTGAAACAATATGCACTATGTAATAGTTCTTGCTTGGGATAACGTTTCCTGAAATTAACTAGGGGGAACTCTGGCCCTGCGATCATTCAGCGACCATGGGAATGATGGGTAGTATACGGATTTGCCTAGTCTTCGTACTTTTGGGCGGCGAATCCCAATTGTGTCTACGTTTATTGCTGTGTTTCGGTTTTGTTTCGAAGGAAATGAACAAACCCTTAACTTCGTGACCCAATTTGAAATGGTAAGCATGAAAGAATAAGGTGCTGAAGCACAACCACTGGACATTTGCCGATTTTTGTTTCGTGAAAAATCAGCTTCAAGACGCACGAACCCACACGGAGCCAGAAGTACGGAGATTCGACAAATCCGTGTACTACCCATCATTCCTACGCTTGCTGAAGCACCGTGCATTGCGGCTTCCATAGACACTAGCGCCAGCGTTCCGTCTATTATGTATTTATAAAACTCTATGCTGCATGGCATGTGAACGAAACTGCTGGCTGCCACAACTTGATACATCGAAAAAAGGCTCTTCACTAGCATATTTTTAAAGAGCCGATTTGTTCAGCCATGGCAGATGGAATGAAGCCTATTAGTACATGTCAATTTAACTTCATTTTTCATCGAATGAAGTGCAGTGTGATCGAACTCGCAAAGATGGTCCAGGCAGTGTTGAATGTACGTCTGAAAACTGAAAGAGCAAAGGCGGTATGACTAATCCAAAAATGTATATATCTTTACAAAGATGAACTTTGTTTCGTACCAGTGCTTGCGGGTAAACTTGGGTGAAAGCCGAAAATATTTACCACTCTCTACGCGTGCTGATGCTCGTACGACGCAGTTCGGACGGTCTCTGTACACAGTAGCCGCACTAGACACACGATCGCACCGGTTGAGCAAGAGCAGGCGCATTGCGCGACCCGTCTTGTGACTCACCTCCGTCTTGGGTCTCGTACTTGACGAATTCTGTCCGAGAGACTGAGTGGCAGAAACACCAGAGTCGCCGTGAAGACGAAAAACACGGCGACCATGAGATACTTGAGAGGGCGGAGCTCCATGTTAGCAGGGAAAGAGCTAACTGACGGGAGGGAACACCACGGCTTGCGTGGGGCGTCAATTTCAGTCGGGAGGAGAGATGCAGCCACCTGCGATGAAAGGCAGACGTCTCGCGCAACGCCCCACGCACATGACTCGACAATTCATGCGTGCACACGTTACGCCAAAGTAATACGGCGAGAGAACAACGCATATTGTGTCACAGAAGTGCGCGACCTGTACAAGTTTCATTCACAGGATCGTGTGCCGTAACGTTGGTCCTGTGCAAAACGGCACTACGGCTACGTTGGGTGGGCGCAAAGACGGTAAACGAAAATCCTGCGCAAGCAGCAGAGTCGAATCGCGCACTCAGTGCACAAACGTACGCGCGGCACGCAAGATGTGCAGGCATAAAGGAAGAAAACACTGACTCACTCGGTGCAGTACAGCTCTTGGCAACGGACTTTCGCATGATGCGACGCTGGTCAGCTCTCTTGACAATTGTCACGCCGCCTGAGCAGGAGCAACGCACGCCGCTTGTTGTTAGCTCCGAGTAGCACCGGAGCCAGGAAATTGAGTTAAGGTCGCGCACCACAAGCGCATTCGCCCGCTGCCAGTCGCAGTTACGAACTAAAAATTACGAAGCACGTCGTCGGATGGCATCGTGAGATGCGTTAACAGCGTTGCAGGATTGTATTCGCCGAACCGGTTCATTTCATCACTGCTGGTTGGTTAGCGGCAGAAACAAATAATTTCGTAAACATATGCCCAATGGCTAGAGCGCAAGGAACGGGAGTAAACGCGCAATGCCTCGAGTCTCTCATTCAAGCGTACATGCATGCATTCACGTGATTGTTCTCTGACGACACCGGAAACTTGAAAAGTCACACCAATAGTAGCGGTAAAAGTACGTGTCGTGGTGGCTACCCTGGGCCTTTGAGAAAACTAGAGCTCTGGTGTACTCAGAAATAAATGGATAAATGAATATGACTTTACCCTTTAGATCAAGCGGTGGCTAGCGCCACCAAGCCGTAATACTTTTGAACCAAAAACTAGATTTTTTTTTCCTTAAATAGTGAGGTTGAGGATTCGTACTTTGCAGCGAAGGGTTCAATTTTCATTCGTTTTTTTCCGCAAGTGGAAAGAGCGTAACAGACGAAACTTGGTTAGGGTCGCACCACGACCTACTGTACTCCTGACCTGCCCAGCTGGCGGCGGTCTACGGAGCTGCCTGCGACGGCTCGAATGCCGAACTTCACCACCTAGGGAGCGCTCGAGTTACCCAAGCTGAGCGCTGGTGGATGCATGGAAATGCATGGGTTACCGCCGGTTCGAGAAGAGTTTCATCACGCATTGAATAAATATGGCGGGTATCTTGAATCATTTTATTTCATGTGACTTTGAGAATGTTCTTTTGCACTTTAGTTGACATTTCAGTGCATTATTTTTCAAATAGAACCGCAAGTCAGATACGAACACATGTATCAGCGTGCAAAACAAGAAAGAACGATGACAGAGACAGGTTGTAAAAAGTGCTGGCCCTCCAAATGTTTATTTAACTCATGATACCGGCTATACGTGTATACAATGGTAGACTTGTTGTCGCACACTCAGCTGGATTGAATTTACTGTCTGGACAAGAAAGTGCAAGGACTATGACATTTGACAGTGGCCGCGGCATCCAGCGCGCATAGAAAACAACCCAATGCAGACAACTTTGCGCATAAATACCTTCGTATCAAAGAGCAAATGTAGATCGCAGGTACATGAATAATCAATAAAAACACCCTGAAACTGTTTTGAAACGAAACAGCACCAACAGCAAACAACAACAGCAAACAACTTTACCTGCAAGACTGCAGCGTTTGCTCTTTTGGGGAGCAGATTAACCTCTGCGATTTCATGGTTCAGCTTGGCTATTTGCGCTTTTAATTCAGCATTATTCCTTGCCATGGTTTGGTATTTCCGGTGCGATGATTTTGCGGAAGTCATCACACGGCGCATCTTCTGTCTGGTTATAGTTGTTTGCGTGGTCAATGAGCGTCGGTCGATCTTTTTTTTTACCTTGTCGCCAGGTGCATTTTCAGGTGGTTCTGTGCGTTCAAATTCGGTGAGAGGGTGTATAAAGTCTGAGGATGGTCCCGAAGTTGCGTTTGCGGATGGTACTGATGACATATGTCGCTCGATGTCAAGCTCTGCTGCGCGCCGGGGCTGAACCTGTTTTCTTCCTGCATTAAAAAATTGTGTTCTGTTATACGCCTTTCCTTCAAATTCGTTTTCATTGGTCCAATTCGTATGCAAAAGCCGTGGGTAGACGTCAAGCGTTAAACATTGTTAGTCACTTTTTTTCTTTGGGCAGCGTCCATGTTCTTGAACATTTGAACGTTTCAAGGTGCGGCGGACTTTTGCCACGGACGGCACCATGTACTTTGGATAGAGTGGAAACACTGACGGCACAACATTCGCTTTTAGTCTTTTTATCTTTAGTCCCGGCTTATGGTCGGTTGGAGCAAAGTGCACACTGCACACCTTCGACCTGTCATTTGGGAGTCAAACTTCATTGCCAGCACCTTGAGAGGAAGAAGATGAACATTCAGTGAGATATTGTGAATAAAATACAAAATTTCTTGTTCTTTTCTAAGGAGTATATCATTCAAATAGAAGTTTATACCATGGTGGCGAAGTGAATAAAACACAGTTATGAAGTGAGCGTATGACTTCACCTCGTTAACCATGTGACACACGTAACTGACTGAGATACATTAGCACTAAATAAAACGGATGACCACAAGAAAGAAGACAAGGACACACGCTACTCACAACTTTTCATTAGGAGGAAAGTTTTCACGTATGTGTCCTTTTGTCATGCATGCGCGTAGATGCGTAAAAATATACGTTTATATCACACGCGGTAGCTCATAAATTCAAGTTCGAGGTCGAACTAATTAAGCGACAGAGGATAAATATTCACTTATGCAACGATCTCTGCTCTTTTTGGTAATGTAATTAAACTACCAAAGCAATCTCGAAGAAGCTGCTTCTTCCCACAATGGGTGTGTTTGAAAACCTAGTTGCATAACCACATGTAGTGACATGGCTTCCATATGTGCACTCTTGTCATCTTTTCGTCGTTGTTTTTGCTAATAAAAAGTTGTGAGTAAAGCACGTCATCATTCACTTTCTTGAGGCTGTTGGTTTATTTTTTTTTGCGCTAATTTGCGTCTTCGTCTGTCATGCACCACCAACCAGCCCAGCAGCTGACTCTTTTAAAGACACGTAGTCATTTACAACCCATATTACATTTTCGGCATGCCAGACAACCCCTAATTGAGCAGACTTACCCTTTCTAGAAATCACCTTGATCAATTTTTCACCAACCTCGATCACTGGAAACTCATAAAAAGTCACACCAGAAGTCTTCCCTTGCCTTGATTCGCAGAAAGGCACGCAGCACACACCATCGTGATGGTTCATTTGCACCAAGAAACCTCGCTTCGCTGGTGTACAAACTGCACCTACCTGCACGCTTCTATGGCAGCTCGGCACGAGGAGACGGTAGCAAAAGATCTTCATTATACTTTTAAGTTTATTCAAAAGGAGGCTTTTATTAATTTTTTCCAATCGTCCAGAGTGTATGCACGCGTAAACATTGCTGCTTTTTTTTCAATGTCGTGAAAGCAGACGACAAAAAAAAAAAAAAAAAACGCTGCGGTCTATGTTATGGTCGTCCGCAACTGGTGTGGATGGGGTAAGTTGTAGCGCCACAAAGCGCATAGCGGCAAGCGCCAGTACCAGAAAGGACGTGCTGGCGCTTCGCTCGCTGGGCAGGTCAGTAGAATACAGTAGGTCGTGGGTCGCACAACGTACCTTAAAAAAAAAATCTTTTTTTTTGGGGGGGGTGGGGGGGGGGGGGGATTCGCTCGCAGGATTTCAAGCTAAACGGTCGTGCCCTCACGATCTCCGACGCCAGAGTAGACTGGTTCGCCCTCCACGGTCTCCTGACGCCGTGCAGCTCTCGCATTGTGGTGCCCCGCCCTTGGACTGCTTCGACCGGATCCCCACTTTCCTATCTCCTTCTATTTCCCGTCGCTTGCCTCTCTATTTCTTCATCTATTTCCTTCTATTCTTTTTATCCCTCCTTCCCCCCACCCCTATAAGGCACTGCGCCGTGTCGCCTGTAGGCAGACAGAAATTAGGTGCCTTCTTCCTTTTCCTTACGAACCACTAACCAAATTTTTTCATGTGTGTGTCCTTTGCTTTGCTACCTCAAGAGTGTTCACAATAATTGACAGATATAATTAAGACTCAAATAAGTGTACGAATGGCACACTGAAGGGAAAATAAATTTGCAATGTCTCTTATGCATCCCCCTCAGTCGACTCAATTGCGAAATGCCATCTTTTTTTTAATGCGAACATTTCTTAGCGAACTTCGGCGACTTTGAGCGTATCATCTATCTATCTATCTATCTATCTATCTATCTATCTATCTATCTATCTATCTATCTATCTATCTATCTATCTATCTATCTATCTATCTATCTATCTATCTATCTATCTATCTATCTATCTATCTATCTATCTATCTATCTATCTAGCCGCCTACGACTTTTAGCTCTCCTGGCCGTTTCGATAATGGTATCGATACCAAACTTGGTATGGCATAACATGACGGTATGAAGAACATATTTCACTAGTCATAACATGAAAATCATGTAATGTATGTCATAAATGTCATGATTTACATTTCGTGGTCCTGCAGCTCTTGCGGTAGTTTCGATCACATGGCATGTTGCAAAACTGGTATAGTATGACATGATTGCATGGCAAACACAAGCGACCGACCCTAACATGATAATCATGACATGTGTGTCATGTAACAACATGACTACATGCCACGCTCATGATGCGCTCGCGACCGTTTCGCTAGCGTCACATATACCAAATTTGGTAGTAAGGTACGTGAATGCATCACGAAGGTATGTGACTGGTGCAAACGTAATAATCATAATTAGATGCCGTGTCATGTAACAACATGACTACATTCCACGCTCATGGTGCACTGGTGGCCGTTCCGCTAGGTTCACTTATGCCAAATTTGGTATCACGGGACCTGAATGGATGACGAGGGTATGATACTGGTGCAAACATGATAAACATGAGAGGCGTGTCATGTAACAACATGACTACATATGCTACGCTCATGAAGCGCTCGCGGTCGTTTCGCCTGCTTCACATGTACGAAACCCGGTTTTACGCGACGCGAATGGACGACATAAGTAAATGGCACCTCCAAACAAGATAATCACGACATGATGCGTGTCATGTAACGACATGACTGCATGCCACACTCATGATGCGCTCGCGGCCGCTTCGCTAGCTTCACATAGGACAAATTCGGTATTACGTGACGTCAATGGATGACGAAGATATGTGACTGGTGCAAGCATGATAAGCCTGAGATGCGTGTCATGTGAGAACATGACTACATGCCACAGTCAAGGGCCAATTACATTTCGACGTGACGCAATGCGCGTGCTCGCCGGTATGCATTTCATTGCGTCACGCCGGCGTTGCCACCCCAGGCGCCAGTCATGCCATATAATCGCAGGTGCGCGCTGCGTTGCTTTGACGCATGCGCGTTTCAGAGTGTCCAGCGTCCCTCCGTCACGAAAAGAGGGAGACGCAGTGTTGTCTGGGTAACGCATCGGCACGAAACAGCATGTCGCATTTGGCGCTGGTTGCCGTCGGGCTGCGCTAACGGACGCTGGTCGCGCCTGGCGTCATACTATATATAGAGTGCTCGCGTTTCCCTAACGTAGCGTCGCTGTGCCTAGCGTGCGCGCGCGT